GCCAGAGACTCCCTTGCGTAGATTTTCTAATGGTCAAAGACTATCTACACCAGGTTCATTTCCGATCTATCCAAGTACACCCGTGCCCTGTTCTGCAGACGCTTCAAGCATTGCTTCTATATCACCCTTCGTGGCGACATCTCCACAAACTGTAGGGAGCACTGACTTTCTGAGAAGATTATCAAACAAGGTATCATTGTCTACTAAAGTGCATGACTATGTCACGATGTATCCGAGGTTTCTGAATTTGAAATATCTTGAACGTGAGAGGCGTTATTCCGGTATATACATATCAGATATTTATTTATGTTGTGGTCAAATTATACACGTAAATTGATAATAATTTTATTAAGAAACTGGAATTGGTAATAACAAAGACAGCAACAACAGACGGACACTCAGCACGTATTTCGACCGTAGCTTTGACGTAATTAGTTTACTTGGATCGGGAGAATTCTCAGATGCATATGAAGTATGCGATAAAAGGTCTGACCAATACTACGCAATAAAAAAAACCAAGCTCAAGTATGCTGGACTATTAGACAGGTTAACAATAATTCAATCGCATGACCTGAAATTTACTACATTGCAAATATCTCGAATAACACTTGTTTATCGTTCAACAGACGCAGACGTCTCGAGGAAGTAGAAATAATGTGGAAACTTGAACCACATTCACATTGTGTACAGTTAATCCAATCATGGGAAGAGAGAGGCTACTTATATCTACAATTAGAATTATGCGACAACGGCAGGTTATTATTAATTGTTAATACATATTTCATTCTCGGAGACGAAACTCGTTCGCTGATTTCTTGTTCAGTCTGTACGATTTTATAGATGATTACTGCGCTGAAGAACAAATAGATGAAATAAGAATATGGAAAATACTAATAGATCTCGCATTGGTGAGCAATAGACAAGCATGTTTGTTTGATTACATCCACGAAACTCATCCGACTGTTGTTAATAAGGGTATTAAACACATCCATGATCATAATATCGTTCATCTCGATCTTAAACCGGCAAATATATTTATTACAAAGCAACTGTGTCTCAAGATAGGGGACTTTGGTTTAGCAACAGAGTTACCATTGGTAAGCATGTTTAAATTAATTTTCTTGTGCGCGTAAGAATACGAGTGTTGATATTGTATTGGTCTACTCTGTAGAGAGAGGATATTGAAGACAGAGAGGGTGATCGTGAATATATATCATTAGAAGCGTTAAATGGACACTATGGCAAAGAGGCCGACATTTTCAGGTATGCCGTTGTAGAACAACAAATAAGAAGGAAAAATGTTGTAACTTGTTAATAGTCACTCTTCAAAATTATAGTCTTACTGACATTAACTGCACTCGTTCATCAGTCTTGGTTTGATAATCTTCGAACTAGCAGCAAATATCATCCTCCCAGACAATGGCACAGAATGGGATAAACTTCGCTCTGGTGTTATAAGAGACTTTCACTTCATCTCAATCTCATCCACACTTATTGCCCTTATCGAAAGCATGCTCAGGCCAGACTATAAACAGAGACCCACTGCTGATGAGATTCTATCTCACCCAGTAGTACAGTTTATTGTGAAAAGTAGAGAGAATGGATTGATGGTAAAGCGAACATTGGAGGTAGAGGATCATGTAATCACCGAGCGTGTAAAGAATGTGATTGAGTCATGTGAAGACAAGGGCATATGGGAAAAGGAAGGAGACAGTGTCAACGTTTTTGAGGATGGTGGAGAGAAGTAGCGTTGCGGTGAGTGAAGGAAAAGAGAAGAGTATTTCGGAAAGTGAGCTCTGGGTGAAGTGACGATGGCATTAATGTAATTATATAATAATAAGACGCCATAATAATAGCACAAAGTTTGTATATTTGAGCCGCGTAGTTCTAATTGTTAAGAGCACTTGATGATAGGGCATAAGACACAGGATGTTATGAGAATTTGGGATATTGAAGCGAGATTATTCTAATTATCGTGACTACGACAACAGGATGTAAAGAATGTATCGAGCATGATTTAGGGTACTGAAACACGCGTTAAATATATAGCTTACCGATAATATATAAAATCAGTTAGCATAGATATTTTGCTTATCATACAAATAGTACTCCCATTGCCTCATGCTCAATACTTTGCCGTTTTCTTTCTTCCTTCAGCCATAGATTGATTAATAAAGCCACGTCATTTACTAATACTAGCATTACGTCACGAAAAGAAACCACTCTCTTCAACGTTTGCGTGTACCATTGTTTAGATCTGCCATTAAAAATTATTTTTCTCCTCTTCCAATGGCATCAATTGCATTTATAAATCGTTTGCTAGCAATTGATTTAGATCCATCGAGGTTGTAAAATGGGTTGCATACTTGATTTATATATGCCGTATGTATCTTGCGGAATATCTAGTAATAAAATGTGAGCATGAGATGTTGTGTTTATTTCTAATCTTTGATAAAGAATCGTTCGTACTTACGGCTTTTATATCAGAATCTTTAATTACAATATCGGGCACTTCTACAACCACTATAAATTTCACCCTGGTATTTGACAACCACCCATATCTATAGAGGACAGACACTTAATAAATCAGCAGAGGGGAGGGGGAATAACAGCTATTATCACTACTTACATAGCCAGATCTTCCATAGCATACAACAATCCAAGATAAGTATCTGTCAATTTAGGAGCCGCGCTGACTGATGTATGTACCAGAATCCGGTATGAATAACTTAAGCATAATACCGACAGCAAAAACACGAAACAGACAACACTTGCCTCTTTCTTCAATCACATCGCAAGATGTATGAGCAATATAATGATACTTTAAGTCAGGGTGTCTCGTACTAAAATTACGAACGTATAATGGGTTGTTCTTTAGATGTGAGATAAATATAATCGGGATATGAGACAATTAATGTTTGGGTTCAGAGCAGCACACTTCTCAGCCTCAAATGAATGATATATAGTTAGTCATACAAGATAATGCCCAGCGCAATATCCCGACTCGAAACTATCGAGTCTCATTATATATTTTTTTACCTGCTTTCCAATTATCGCGATACATTGGATTTTAATAGTATTATTGCTTGCCATTAAGGAAAAAACTTATTTTGAATAGTGTTCAGAAAACCATCTTTATTATCACCCGACCGCAAGCTCCCAATTGGCTGACCTTACATCATAGTTACACCCGTTTATATCAGATCCGTTTCTAACGGGAAAAGGTACTTCTTACCACTCGGCTATTACGGTTTTATTTCAAAGATCTAACCATGTCGTGGCAGGGGTAAGTAACATGGGCAGAAATGGAGAAACGAGGATGGTAATAATGCAAGTGGAGAGAAAAGTTCATGTCGTTAGTTATTCAAAAGACGTTTACATACTCTGGACATACTGAAGTTTTTCTCGACCAGTTACTAAGACATTTAATATCTTGCGACAAACATAGATACGTTGACAACAATCTCCTTGGCACAGGGAAGATATCTGACGCTGCTATATATGGACATGACGGGTCAGCTTGGGCAACGTCGCCTGGTTTCAGCGTAAGTTTTCAGGAAATAACCATGAATTTATGGACTATCTTGTGAATAGATTGAGCATCGTTTGGTCTTTACTAGCGGCAAACAGTGAATTCATCGGGTTAGATTGGGGTTGCAAAAGTGTTGTATTTGGAGTAAGCTTCTTGTTAGATCATCACATGTACTTGGAATGATTGAACGTTTCAACCCTGACAATTTTTTTTTCCTCCCCGTTGTTCTTACGATCTAACAATTCTCATTATTTTATTTGAATTAGGTAAAGCCTGTCGAGTTTCGTGCTCTTTTTGATGGCTTCAAGGATGATAATTCACCTCTCTTTGGGAGTGGAATCCGTGTGAATGCAGTAAAATACTTTACTTTGAAGGCTGACGCTCGTAGTTGCTATGGAAAACTGGTATAGTGTAATGCAGTATATATGCATTTTATATGACCAGCTTGGGACAATACTAAGCAAAACCTGCGTTACATTGTTGATCATAGGGAGATGATGGTATTATTGCCGTCAAGACAAATCAGGCTATATTGATCGGCACTTATAAGGACCCTATAAAGCCTGGGCCAGCAACCCTCGTTGTTGAAAACTTAGCTGACTATTTGATCGGAGTAGGCTATGTTAGTAACAACTTTGATCGCTTGTTATCTGCTTAAACATTTTGATGTTAAATGCGCTCTATTAACCTGTATACCTTTTTTTCTTCCTCCCCAGTAACATAAAATGATAAGGACACGTGATGTTATTAATACCCACACATAGCACTCAGAGAGCAATTCATTTATAAGAACTTATAAATCATGCTTTATTTTTTATTTTTATTTTTTGTAAACGTTACAGAGCAAATCTGACCTTGAAATTCAAAAACAATAATCAATGTGAGAGACGTTATATGAAAGTCAGGCGTAGAAAAGCTTTCATTAGTACTGGCATGTGTGTGTGTGTGAGTTTGATGATTCAGGTTTGCCCTTTATCCATCCTTCGAGAACTACTCATCATCAACGTCGTCGCCGTCGACATCATCACCGATATCATCGTCAGAAATGTTACCCACTTCGTCACTTTCATCATCATAGTCATCACTCTCATTATCATCATCATAGTCGCCACTCTCATTATCATCATTATAATCACCGCTCACATCATTATCATCCTCATAATCACCGCTCATATCATTATCATCATCGTCCCCGCTCTCATCATTATCATCATCATCACCCTCATCATTGTCGTCATCGTCAAGAACCCCCATAGTAACCAGTTGTGTGCGTAATCCATCATTATCTGTTGAACAAAACCCGATGGCGAAACATCCACGTTAGACGCATCCAGATAAATGCATTCAATTCTCCTTGTTTTTTACCTGGATTCTTCTCGAATGCTTTTTTTAAATATTCGATACCCAGTTCGAAAGCTTCCATTGTTGTATTCTCGTTGCCAACAAGTGTCGATTGCAGAATATAAACTTGGCCAAGCTGAAGTGAAAATGGGGGAGATTATTAAATACACGAACTATTAAAAACACAGCAAAGCAGGTCATACAAAAAGTTCTATCAAAACTTACCAACTCGGCGTAACTATCCTCACTGTGATCATTTGCAAATTTAAGATTCTTAATTGATTCCATCAAAAGTAACTTTTGACACATAATGGCCAGTAAGCTAAGAATGTTTCCCGTTGGAATTTCTGTAATACAAAAAAGAAATAGAGAAAACAAACCAAACCTCCATCAATGCCTATACCTTTATTTCTTCTGCTGCATCTGCACTCTTACTCATAGCCGAATAATACAGACAAGACCCCTTTAAGCCGGCAACAAATGGATCCTGTTCTTCAGGATTTTCCAAGTTTTGAGCTCGTGTAGCAGATTCCAAATATTCCAACGACAATTCAAATACTTTAGAGGCATAAGCTAATCGAGATATGTAAGTTAGCAAGTATACATTTACAAGTAGAAACAATGGTAGCTTTGAACAAACCATGGGGTTGATAGGAGACTCCGTATTCATAAAAATCTTTGGCAGCCAAGATAGACTCGGATATATATCGCGACATGTCCGTCGATCTAAAGAGAGAGAGTCCCTGAATTGGTTTTATAAGCTGCAGCTATTTTTTTTAAGGTAGCTTTTGCGCATTCCTCGATCAACTACCCCCAACAGATACATCGATTTTATTGAATATCCAAAGACTTACACGCTCATAGGCCTCTTTTCCGTTTAAAAATTCCTTCCGGCTCTCACTGAAATTCTCTTCTTTATCCAATTCTCCTTCGTCTTCGGACGATGGCAGACTCATACGCGCCTTGCATGCAGCGGTCGTTGAGTATGTAAAGCAACATAAATGGCATAAAAACCATTACTGGTATAAACTTTGCGTACACATACCAAGGCGATCCTAGCTCTTGCAAGTCCTATCCATGCTTCGCCGTTGTCGTTATTCTCGCAAATGACTTTCTCAAACAATTCGATACTTTTCTTGATGTAAGAAATGAGTGGCATATACTTTCCAAATGAAAGACAACACATTGCATAATCACATAAAAATGATGTGTAACTCTCGTATTCTCCTTCTCTTCCCTTTTCTTTTCCCTTGACTAGTTTGCTCTTGTCGCTTGTTTCTCCCTCCAAATCCTCCTCCTCTTTCCCAGCCTTTCTCCTAATTTCCTCTTGTTCTCCTAATACACGATCAAATTCTCCTATAGCCATGTCATACAATTTCTTCACAATGCCCCCACCATGCTCTTCAGGATTCTCTTTCTCAGACTCGTTTACCGCCATTCTAAACAAATCACTTGGGCCCGGTGGTGTAGTGCTATCAGTTAGCGCGAAGCTGACTTCTATCTCACCGACATCACACCCCTCGCACGAAGAATCCTCGCAATTCGGTGCATGCCCGGTGGAATGTCTAGGCTTCCTGGCAGGCGAATGCGGAGACGATGAAAGAGTAGAAGAAAGGTTTGTGGATAACTTGCGTTTTTTGGATGTTGACATTATAATTGAAAAGTCCTTTTGATGATATAGGTATAATAATAATAACAGTAATTCTGTAAATGTTGTGTTACTATTACAAAAATTTAATTGCTTAAAATTACATAATTCTGATATTTCAATAGTAATAGACTGCAAACGTTGTTACTGCTTTATTAGATAGTTAACGATACCAGGATATTGAGGCTGCAAGGCTTCCATGCGCGTAAACAGTGTAGGAGCTAGCTAATGAGAATGGCCAAACATTATATACAAGGAACTCTACTGAATGTGGCGTTTGTTAAAAAACACATCAGTGTAACGAGATTGATCTGAAAGAGGAATGGTCACTGATTCCTCATCAAACGTATTCCAATTTGATTAAGGGCATGCTTGAGGCCACTGGTTGGTCCCATCTTTTTAATTTAACCTTATCTGGGTTGTCTCACTTGCAATTTAGTTTCGGAGCTGTTGCTATCCATTGGGAGAACACTGTAAGAACTAACCAGAGAAATTTTGCCTGTATATTATCATTACTGAAAAAAAACCATTGTCAGTTGGATGGTTAACATTTAGCTTTAGCTTTTTACCACCAGTTCGGCTAAGCTGATTAGTACAATGTTTCTAAAACTCTTCGCAATGTGTGCCGAAGATCTACATCTTCAAACTAAACTGACTGACGCTATTGGCCTAACAAAATCCACATAATAATATATTTGCCATAAACGGACACAATTATTTTAGACTTTTTTTTTGTCGGAGGAACGCAGAAATAAAGGAGAGAATACGTCACCGTTATATAGCATAGCATCACAAAGGTATGTTTGGTATTACGAAAACCCACATGTAATTATTCCAGAACATCTTCGAGAATTGGGTCTCATTGAATAAGGTTAAAACTTTAAATGAATGATTGTTATTATTTCAATTACTTTTTGTATATACGACGTCACAGCGACTGACGTATTGACCCCAAAAATTTTACCTTTGCTAAGAGTAGTCGCATTATCATATATGCAGATGGCTAAAAATAAGAAGCCTGAAACTTTATTATTTTTTTCAATGATGCAATTACATTAAAAATTCAAGATCGTCATCATCCTTATTTATTACATTTAATAAACATTTATTCCCTCTCCTACACTCCGTCAATGTTCTCCTGTTTCACTTTCCATTTCTTCAATCGCAGTTAATACTTGAGATTTTTGATATTTATTTTTTGGTGTCCACCATGGTTCGTGAATAAATGCTGATTTGCATTGTAAGTATTTTTCGTCGTCAATTTTGAAGATATCATCGAGTAAGTTACGCCCATGGTTCAGTTCATGAAACATTTTATTGATTTTTCATATATTTCCTGTGCAAAAATGATTAATTTATATGTCATTTTCTTTGATGTCAAGACAGGAGAAAAAATAATTGTAATCCCAATCAACCAACTTTTAGTACTCACCATTACATGGTTAAAATTTTTTATTGTTGATTTTAATTTTCCGAAGTGAGCCAATTTTGTTGGTAACTCGAATGTTGAACCGGGAAAAACAATGTAAAAGCCATTTACAAAACTTCGTAAGAAATTAGACGAGTACAGTATGGATGACATATATAATGCAGATAAAACCGGCTTATACTGGGCGATGGACACCTTGTCGGGTTCTGACTGATCGTAGGCTTAGTGGAAAAAAAAAGAATAAAAGTAAAGTTTCGATACTATTAACAACAAACGCCTCAGGAACAGATAAATTGCCACCATTGTTAATTTACAAATGCCGAACACCGCGTCCTCTGAGAACTATAAATGGAACCAGTTATGTAATTATCTTGTAATAATTAGGTGTCCACATTCAACGAATGGCTTAAGTGGTTTGACAAAAAATTACGCGGTGAAAGTCGAACTTATTAGACAACGCCTAAGTGCATAAAATTTTCTCTGGAAACGAACCAACAAATATTAAGATCAGATTCTTACCACCCAATACGTCATCTGTGTGACGCAGGTATAATACATAGTTTCAAATCTCAATATCGAAAGTTTTTTGTGCGCCATAAGTTACAATTGCTTGAAGAACGTTTGGAAAAGCGCGATAATTTTGAGGAATATAACATAAAACATGCGATCTATAACGTATTCGACGCATGGAATAATGTCGATAGAAACACAATTAGGAACTGTTGGAATTCTTCCGACATCGTATCATACTACAATCATAAACCGGGCAGCCGAAGAGTTGGCAGTAGAGACAAATGAGCAAAGTACAATAATTCAGGAACTAATTAATCGAATGAATTTACCTGACCCATTGGATGCTAGTGGTAATGTTAATCATTTACAATATTTCCCTATTTTGTTCGTATTAATGTTACCAATGCTGTTTAAAACCACAGAATTTATTGCCGTTGACAATGCGGAAAATGCGAACGCAGCACTTGACGACGATGAGATTATACAAGAAGTTCTTGGTTGTAAGTCCGCAGAGAACGACTCCGATACGGAAAATGAAAATACGAATGCAAGCATCGAAAAATTTTCCCTTAACGAAGGTGAAGATGCACTTAAAAAGTCACTGATATTTCTCAAACAACAAGAAAACATCGAATTTAAAACAGAGGATTTGACAGTCATCTGGCATCTTATCAATCAAATTGAATTGCATCGTTTATCTTTGCTTAAGCAACCATCTATTAATTACTATTACAAGTTTCTTATTATTATGTTAAGTTTTCAAATAATAAAATTGTGTTACCATTAAGTACATTTGATTGGATATTCGTTAATTCGATCGGCAATCGACTGTATTTTACAAACTTTTTCTTAGTTCATTATCGCATGTAAGTAACGACACACGGTGAATCTGTAAAATACACGTTATAATTGTCAAATGATGATACTTATGATTTCTTTTTCACACTTAACACCTATATATTATCATGATATCGCAAAAAACTTGTTTAAACTGACTGTATAATAATAATAATAATAAAGATTCTATTTTAAATAAATCTATGTATTTCACGTGAATATGGATGATCAAATTTTGTGCTACATTATCAAATGGTCCCTAAATTTCAGTCCCCCGTTTTTCGTTTTAATCCGATTTCGTTTTAATCTGTCACAATAACAATAACAATAAACGGTTTAGAATTAGCCAGCCATGCTGTATATAAGAAAGCGTCTAATTAACAACTGTTTTGTGCCGAGTTAGAGACGTCAGATTACCATTACCTAACGTGTATTATTTATTTTTTAACATTTTATGTGCTACCTCAAGGAAAAGTCTAGAAAGTTACTGTAGATGATAATAATAAGTGAATTTGTCTGTACGACATTATTACCCAACTTTCTTTTTTTTTTTTTTGACTAAGCAAGTTTACTGAAATACGTGAAATATGGGACGTCGAAAATCCAATTATTTGTCCCTCAAAAAATCAAAGCAGGAATTTGAAACGGGAAGTAAGAAATATGACAACAGGGAAATTAGCCAGATTAAAGCCATAAGAACTTATGAGGACCTGGAAGGAGACGCCGAAGATCAGTGTAAGCGATAAACTCGATTCAAACGACATTGACATGAATGCTGAATTCTTTCTATTTTCAGTCATGAAAGAGCGAGATAAAGTCTTACTCGAAGACGATCTTTATGCTGACGGCAAGTCAACCAATTCACTTTATGGAATGCAATTGGTATGTAGCTAACAAAAGTTTTATTACAGAAGACTCAGATATTTTGTCAGAAGAGGAAGTCTTTGCCTTGGACATTGACGAAACCCCACCAAAAGACAAGGGTGAAGACGAAGGCGAAGATGAAGACAATGATTTCAGTATTGATCCCTATAAACAACTCTCATCACCCTCGTCTTCAGCTAGCGATGCTGATGATCTGGATACCGACACATGGGGAACATCGAGGAAAGCGTACTATGACGCTGATGACGTTCAAGATTTGGATGAAGCAAGAGAAGAAGAAGCAGAAGCGTTAAGATTGCAAAAAAAGAGGATCAACAGAATGAGCGAGGAAGATTTCATAGATGACATATGGACGACTGACGTCAGCGATCAGTCTCAAGTGGTTCTCACCTTTGCAGATCTTGTGCAGAATTCATCAAATAGTACTACTTCTCTTGCGTAAGTTATTTGATTTTACGCGCTAAATGTAATGCTGACATACTAAGCCATATTTCAATTATTTGTCTGCCAGTGAAGAGCAGATGAGCACATCGATGGATACTCATAGTTCCATTGGTACACCGAAACATAATGATGCTGAACTTCTTCCTGAGACCGCAAAACGTGCGATTAATTATCAAATAATGAAGAACAAGGGATTAACACCAACTCGTAAGAAGGAACAGAGGAATCCGCGAGTAAAACATCGCAAGAAGTTCGAAAGAGCAAAGAAAAGGATTAAAAGCATAAAACGAGTAGTCGCTCCAAAAGTTGGCCCATATGCCGGGGAACTGACCGGCATCAAAACAAATTTGTCGAGGAGTATCAAATTCAAGTGAAATCGCAGTATTTTGTCGAAAACAAACAATTATCTCACGCGACTTAATTTAAACGTTTTCACATCATAATGTTTACATAATTCTCGCTTTGCGACAAAACAAAAGTAATACATTTTAAAATTCTAAAATCTATACAAGTCAAAGAACATGTTTCACGGCATTATGGAGTCTAATTAGAAACTTTGACCGATTTCTCTACACTCATAGTGCAATTATCTTCAACCCTATTCTTTTATAGTTGTTCACCTACCAATCGCTGCCCCTTCGTCTACCTAATTCAAGTAATGTTAAACCCCGTCGTCTAGAATTTGTATCAGCAAGGATGTCATATTCATCTTCTGTGGACCCTGTAGCTGTGGCTCTATTTGCCCCCTCTGCATCTTTGCACGCGATATATTTTAACACATCTTTTACAGTAACGAGTCCCACAAGTTTCCCTGAATGTTCGATGAGTACGACTCGGGGGCTACAAAGATTTAAGCCAACAAGTGAGATAGCAGGTTATTATTGAAGTTCTGGATGAGTGCTAAATATCTTACCCCAGTTTTTTGAAAAGATTCATAACAGTTTCCAGTGGAAGACGAGGATGGACCGTTATTGGTGTCTACAGAAAGATAGCAATTCATCTTACTGCTTGTGCTAGATCTAAGCAAATATAATCACAAATCCATTACCTGGTCTATAAATTGTCCAAAGTCTATAAAGTTTGAGGAGCTCTCGCCAAAGTTATCAAGGTTTGAATAATTGCTGTTATCATCGCCATTGAAGAAACAATGTGCACTATTGGATACGCCACGGATATGTTTTGCTTTATCTTCATAAAGAAAGCAGCGTGAGTATTTATTGCAGTTTGCTAAAATTAAGTTGATGCTTATTTGCAACCTTACCTATAGCATATCTGAGTTCGGATCTGCCTATATATCCGAGAAGAATCATGTTTTTCCGGTCTTGGACAACAGGAAATCCTTGGAAATTTGTCTCGGAAAGCATTTGATCTGTGCATTTGTAGAAGGCGTCACTCGATTTTTTTTGAGCAAAATCAATATCATTCGACTTTCCAATACAAACCTATTTCATCAAGACGTTGTCCTGACGACGTTATTACTACAAGATCTTTCCTCATGACCGTTGCAACTATCAAAGAAGGACTAATTAAAATTATCTGCAAATTTGTCCTGACACATCCACATTATACTCACCAGGGACCCCAAATGAGTATTCTTCTTTGTCGAGGAAAGGAAACCCATTCAGTCGTATCATTTGATCTGCTGTAAACATCCTCAGTCAAAGATCACAAAGTTGTAACAGCCGTGATATGATCATTGAAATAAATGGAAGTAATAATAACGAGCAAGTCGATCGTCAAAAAGGATATATTCCGCCTTTAGTAAATAAATCTCCTACGGCCTTCGTGGCCATTAAAGTTATCTATGAGAGGGGGGTTTACTGATAAGTGATGAGCATAGGATTGAACGAGAAAAACACACAAGCCTTACCATAGTCGGAAGAATGTAAGTTAACGCGCCGGTAAGTTCGAACATGATAACCACAATGCATACAGTCAGATGCATTATACCGCTAGAAGGTATTGAAATCATTGCATTAGATTACAACGATTATGGCAAAGATTTTTTGGAAGAGACTAGTAAAATTATTTTTACCCTAAGGCGGCAGCAGCACCCAAGAATGCATACATTCCAGGTGTGATGCACTTGAATACGGCAAAAATATCAGTTACCTAGATCAGCATAAGTTGACCAATAGAGTTCAAATGATTCGACTTACTGATACATCCGGTTTACATGATGCAAACATGGGAAAAGAAGGGTACGCGCTATAAAATAGAGATTTAGTAAGAGTAGGTCGTGTGATAAATAGAAAAAATATATACTATCCAAGTAAACGAGTCCTCACTGTTGCAATCCTTTCACCATGATTCCTAAAAATCTACCAAATGTAGCTCCGACGGCCATCGATGGAATGAATATTCCGGCAGGCACCTGCAATAGTTCAACTAAGATCATACACTTCTTGACAATAAAAGAGCAAACTCAATATGGTATGCTTAAAACACTCTACCTTTGCACCATATGAAATTATTATAAATCCGGTTCTTAAGACGGTTGCCAATAATAGTAACCAGGCCATTCTTGACATTTGTGACTCCCTGTTAAAAAAGAATATCGGTCAGCCATCTTGGTGTGATACAGGCAATGGCATTATTATTAATAAAAAAAATACCGATAAGTGACTATACTTACTGACACAAACTTTCATAACTATTTGATCCCTCTTCGCATTCGCGGAACAATATTCCAAGAATTTCAGTCATGTCAATTTTCATAAATATGTTGAAATATCCAATCAGCGCAGTGAGAAGTGCAAGAATAGTAGCTTCTCCAACACCATGATCTCGTAAATACTTTTTACGAAATGTTTGAACTTTGAGATTATATTTGGTTACAAAGGCCCCGTATAAACCGCCAAATATTCCAAGAAGTATGAAGAAAATGATTTCAAAAAAGTGCCAGTCGCGATCATAAGTTACTTGGAACATTACGAGTTTGCCAGTACGAAATGGGTTCATTGCCTATAAGCGCAAAATAATATCAATTTAGTAAAACAAAAAATACGGCAGCTCGTCCGCTATTTCCCACTAATGGTCCTCAAGTCAAAAAATCCGACCTGTAAAACAACGGTTGCAACCAATGCACAAAAGAAACTTCTCCACATAGTCTTCATTGGAAAATTAGAGCTCATTTCCTGTCGCATTGAAAAGCACAATAAGATGCATCAGTTTTCTCACTTCGCCCTCTATTGTAATTTTTTTTAATGTCAAGGATTCTTACCTCGAACGAAAACAGAACGCCTCCAATTGGGGATCCAAAAGCAACCGCGACACCAGCTGCGCACGAAGCCGAAAGTATCTCCCGCATTTTAGCTAGTCGATAAATATTATCGTAAAATACTCGTTTGTTAACAATTGTCATTTTCGTTGCCGTATATATACCTTTATTTCGTTTAAATTTTCCAAACATTCTCGATATGACATTTCCAATACAAACGGCTGTATGAACGGATGGACCCTCTTTCCCAATACTTAAGCCAGACGCGATGGCCAAGGGCTTTTTTGCGTTGCAAATGGTTAGATACGATTTTAAACATGATCTGTTTTACGATCAGCAATCGTGACTTACCAGTCCAATACTTTTCAGTAATAAAGTCCAAGCACCAAGAAATCCTTTCATAACAAATCCAGCAAGAATGCATTTTATCTCGGATATACCTGACCCTGCGGCATACGGAGCAAATGATCGAATGATATAGGCACAGACTGCCGCAAAGAGTGTCTATCGAAATACGAGGGGGAAAAAAGTCAGATTGGAATCAAATTGGGAAGAATCGCTTTGTAAACGGGAATCTTACAGCAAACATTATATAGAATAACCAGTTGATAATAAAATGTTGCGACCAATTCTGCCATTCGTCACAAGACCCATCTACATATCAAGAATAATATCATTAAACATTGCAAAGTTTAATTCGATATCTGGGAAGCAGTTATCGCCTGACAGTGCGTACCTTCTCGTTCTATTTCCCAGCAACAAAACTTCTGGTTCAGCCACCACGAATTTTTACAATAGCCTAGTTTGATATCGGATAACCATTCTGTTATAATATCGATCAATGCAGCATTGAGACCAATGACTGCGCCTACGATCGACACGACAATCCATGTTTGCCCTGCCTCGTACGATAACCATAGCCATGTACTCCATGAAGATTTATTTTCCAAGGCCACGCGTCGAAGAGCGTTCAGCCTCGATCGCTCTTGTATTGAATCCTGTACCCAATCTGCTCAGAGAATTGGATCAGCGATTGGGAGCGCTTATAGGTCAAGGATTAGATAAACGGTTTTTACATCTGACCTATTGTCGTAAAATCTTCATATCGTTTGATTTCTTCCAGGGCTCGATCATGGTTAGCATTATAGCCAAAGTTTCTTGACGTTCGCGGTGTGTTATGTGCTGGTTGGGTAATTCGTTGTGTGGGGCGTTGTTGTGAGGCAGAAGTATGTCGTGATTGTTGCAGAGAGTCCCACAAACTACGAAATATGAAATATCAAAAAATGATTGCAAGATACTAGGACAGTCTCAAAAAGACTTACGTAATCAATCTATCCATGAAACTGCTGCCATGGCTCCTGTCTGTGTCCATGATTAACAGAAGAATTTGCAGTGATGCTAAAAATCTACTTTAAAAAATTGCGTCGTAAACCCCTGGCAAAATTCTCAACTAATTCGATGTCGATCACCTGATTGTGCTCGCATCGACATTTTTTTCAACAAGCAAACTCCCTCAGTTTCCACGGGGGATTTTTCTCCGAGCATTGCTTGATGGAGCCTTAGTTATGTAACATAGCTACGCCAATTGATTGATTATAGTTGACTATTTTTGATCGATTCAATCCATCCGGAGCACAAAAATAGCATTTAATAGTAAGTGAATGAGGCGTAGTAAAAATGTGACATCACCAGCAATACTAATTCTTGCTTATGCGAATACTTGATGTATTTATTTTGAAACAAAAAAGCTCTCTTTCTTGTAAATCATTTCCTGAAAGGGGGTTTTTTTGTTTGTTTTTTTTATGGGGTTTTTATGCGTTCGCTTCAGACCTCTTCACCATATTCTCTATACGTGCATCCTATTCAAAGTAAATAGAGAGATTGATTACAACGCGTTGATACTTAAATTGAGCTTACTAAACTGCTTACTATCTGATATTGTTTTCAGTAAATCTGGCCTTATTGCACCTCTTCATTCCTTCTCAGCCACTCTCATACGCATTTCCTCTTCCTATTTCTAACTTCCTCTCTAAACTTATTTACGTCCTTGCCTCATCCCTGCGATCCACAATGTCTTTTTCACGCCCACTCCATCTTTTTCTGATCCCTTTATGTCATATTGCCTACGCTAGAATCTCTCGCGCGGGCAGTCAATAATAATTTATTTGTATCAAAATCATTTGTTTTATAAAAAGCAATTTGCAATTATTCAAATGAATATATCAATTCTAATTTAGGAAATTTTATTAAAAGATGCGGGAAATTTTCTTCATTGTTTTCAATTATAAATACACGTCCGTTTTTATTGATTAACTAGATGTTCTTTGAATAAGTCTTTCGCTTCTTCTTTGCGAGCATTGTATTGTAAGCCGTTCCGAAAATGTTGGCACGTGTCACGTAAATCCGTTCTTGGATTCATGATTTGAATATAAGGCGTTAATTGATGCCACAACTTGCGGAATGCGTCATATTTTAATAATTTCAATGTGCTATCGTTTTCAAGACCTGCAATAAAATCGCGATAGACTGACTTATAACTTGTTTCAGCTGGCAATAGTGTAAGCGATTGAGTAATGCGGTTGACATTTCTACCAGGACTTGGTAGTCCATAAATTTCAACATAGTTTTCGAGAAATTCTTCACGGCGGTAGCAATGGTTATATCAATGGTTATTTTGGTCTTCCATCGCGGCATTCGTTTTATGTTACCATGAACACGCGGTATTATACCATTCGTCGCTAGGTGATTTCTGACGTTTTCGAAGTGCGTGCGGCCAATTCCGAATATGTTAAGTGACAAAGAGCTGTATTGTTATCCCAATAATAAAAAGTCCTCTTATTAGTACGCGTTTTCTTTTAAGACGTCGACTGGCAGTTATTTTTCCACCATTCATTGCTTTCAGCTGGGCCATTAAAAATATGTCTTGTTCAGATCTAGCGAGCTTCACGTAATTCGGCAAACTTTTCTCTAGGCATCTTTTTTTGAACAACCACAATTGCAACCTAACTCTAAAAAATTTATTGCTTTTTCATATTAGGCACGTTAATTTTGTAACACGTGATATACACCAATTCTATTGGCTGACGATGTTTTCTTTTTTCAATTTTTTTTTTCAAATTTTTTTTGACAATGATTGTACTATTTTGAAAAGTGCTATAAAGTAAAATTTTACGAAAAATCAAAGCAATAAGCAAACAATAAACGTAATTTTATTGTATTCTAGCATTTAATTGTAATCATATTCACTAAATATGCAGTGCACAAGATGAATAGCAACTAGTACGACAGCTCAGTAAGCACAATATTAAAGTCTATCATTAAACCACATCTAAGAGTAATATGTTGGTTCCAATCCATTTTGTACCAGTTTTCATAATTATTTGCATCCCAATGACTATGACAAATGTATGGAGCTCTTGTAGGTCGTGTTTGTTCAATAGTTGCATGAGTTGTGGATATTTGAGGATTAGGATTGGAAGGAATTATTCCAGAAGGAATGATTATTGCTACAAATTCAATGCCAGTTGTATTTTGCTGAAGCCAATTAATCTTATTCAGCATATAATTTCGGTCTTTGGCGTTATTGAAGCATACCTGCAAATATTCAATAACTTGTCAAACAACACTAATTATATTTTTCAAACAGAAATCGATACATTACCTTAATCCACACATTAGGAGGTGGACATGGATGGATAATAGGCCTGAATCTTTCGTCATGAGATGGTTGTTGGAACCACACACCCACATCAGATCGTAGGTCTCTATTGTTGACTACACATACAGAATTGGGACAGACCCACCAACTTTGATTTTGGCTCTCAAGGGAATTTCAAATCCTGCAATGAATTTCCTCCTTGCCTCCACCATCACACTGAATAATGTAAAAACCATTGAGAAAATACTTTATGTGAGAGATATGTATTCTAAATAAATTTTACCTTGATAAATAAGCTATCCCCGATTCTTTCAGCTTTAAAGGCGTCATGAATAGCTTGACGTACGCCAATGTCACGAAGATCTTCAGCGGGGAAATTAATATTTACAAGACTATCTTTTCCCTTCAACTCTTGTTCAATTTTAGCACGTATCTTCAAAATAAAAGTTATTAACCATCTCTTTTTCTTATTTCCTTATTTTTAAATATGATTTAAATACCTTATCCTTATCAAGCCGGAAACTTGTCTTGGATCGCATGGCAGCGCTTGAGTCTTTTTTCTTGTAATTTTGCTGCTAATCCATTTACACTTAATACTATTTGCTTTAAAAATTTGACTTGAAGAAAAGGAAATAGTACCTGCTGCAAACAATGAGAACTATTTGTGCTGTTCGAAACCATAATAACAGTTGCTATGCTCAAGCGACGAAGGTCTTTGCACCATTAACTTCTGTAGCTGCCATGTTTAGGTACAAAGTAAACAGATTGAGTACATCATCATGTCAAAAATAGGCCACCCAACTACATGGGGGTGCTGAAAAGGGGTTAGATTTCAACAATCAGCTGACTTATCAGCGGTTCGAGGAATGAATGAAGAGAAAAAGATCACAAAAATCCATATTGCCGTTCTCGAGAAAACTATTTTTGAAAAACCTATACAAAACAATTGGTTACGATAATACATTTTCGTTTCATGTAGGAATTGGTTGGGAGCCAACTCAGGTTCACGAGTTGGATCTCTTTGCTGGATGTAAAGCCTTACGGCGGCGTAGGTGATGACGTATATTCCTCCTGAACTACGACCCCAGCTCTCTGATCGGCAACTCTTTCTAAATTTGTCTAACCTGCTTGTATGGTGGCCGGATGAGATTTTATTTAAGTGCTCAACTATTTTATTCAGAGGATTTGTAACCCGTATCGAACTACTTCTTTTTTATTTTCTCGTAATAGGCCATTAAAGAAAGTCCCTTTAAGATCTTGATTATCTAAATCGACACCTAATACTGTAGCATATACCTTTATCATCTTGAAATAATTATCTATGGCCTGGTTAAGTTGTGTGGGTGGCAGAGTTCCTGGTCCAATAACTAATGTGGTATATTAGTCTCATCAAGTAATGTAAGGGTTTTATTTGGAAAATCCACTTTCATCGCATTTTCCTGAAACCATGGCTGACCCAATACCAGTACAAATTTAAATTGCGGTTTATTAGAAACAAAAATATCAGTAACTTTTACTTGCTTCCATTTAGGGCCTTGAGACAGGATCGAAATCTCTATTCCACGAATTATTCCCAACACATCGACCTTGCTAATGGGATTATATGTTTCTACATCGCAGGTGTCATCGATTTTCAAGCCTACGTCATTTACTACCCCCTCACCTATAATATTGCAATTAGCACCGGAATCTAGTATAACTGTTACTGGTACTTTATTAATTTCGCAGAATAAAGTTATCATTGTGATGTTTTATTATAACAATATATTTAATTCCGCATTTTTAAATTCGTCTTAATAAATATTATTATGACATCGATAATGGCAATACGTTCTTAATTGGTCTAAAATTATGAATAAGATACATAAACTATTTGGTAATACTGCTCAGCATCATTGAGCGATTTTTAATTTAAACATATTTACTATATTAGTATGTTTGTAAGAAAGAGAAGCGAAGCCTCGGCCGCACGGCGGGCTTTGCCTCTCAGTTTCTACCAATCGTTGGTATAATAATAATCCTTATCGCATAGCTTCATAAATGTTTATTGTCTCGGATCTCCAGCATGTTGAATGCTTAGTCAAAGATCGCAGTTGTTGGAGTGATTCGTCTGAATGTCTTGGACTTCATCGACAATGACCCAATCTCATTTCTCATATTCTTTGAGTGTGACTTTTAAACCGTTTTCAAAATTTCGTCGGTAGCAATCTTGTTTTTTCAATCCTTGCAAAACCCCTTGGCAAAGTTTATCAGCGATCTGCGCAACTGCATTATAATAAACCCGATCTTGGGCATGTTTTATACGTGTGCCACCTGGTCGGTAAAGCCATGCAATTACTACATTCTCAATCACGTTAACTGCATTGATGCGTTTTTTCCATAGACAGAATGTTCGCTGGATATTAGTTGCTGCACGATTTTTTTTATGCATATATACAAAATATCCCACTTCCATTCTAAATGCAAGGTATTTGGAGAAAAGTTCCCTTGGGAGCCTATATATTCATTTCTGCGTAGATTGTTTTTAATACGGAATACGAAATTTTGCCAATGATTCTTATAATATTAGATTTCGGTATCGCAAACAAAATGATTATCATCCCGTCTGAAGTCACTTGCAAATAAATAAATTTACTGCATCTTCCGAGTGGTTTGACGGATTTAAAAAAAGGTACAATGTCAGAGAATACTTGAGAGCGGGTGAAGGGGATAGTCCACTTCTCGAAAAATTTCCCGAGTTTAGAAGCCGATTACAAGATGTCATTAAAAATTATGAGTTGAGGAACGTATTTAACTGTGACGAGACGGCACTTTTCTGGCTTTTAGAACCAAGCAGGACATAGGAGTAGTTGTTGGAACAGAGAACGTGTGACGGTATTGCTTACTTGTAGTGCATTGGGTGAAAAAATTAAATCGACTTTTATCTATCGCTACAAAAATCCACGAGCATTAAAGAATATTCGAAAGTTGACCCCCCCAGTCTTTTATTACTGGCACAAGAAAGCGTGGATTCAACGTTCCATTTGGTCCGCCTTTGTAAAACAATTAAATCAAACTATGAAAAATCAAAACCGACACATATTGTTACTTATCGATAACGCCCCGAGTTTGTTTGTTTACATCACTTTGCTGAGAAGCATTTTTTTTTGTTTATTATTTAAATTGATAGGACCATAAGTCGACATTATAATTTGTTAGATACGTGTAGCAGAAAATGGGAAAATAATCTTTAATTGAACGGACTTTGTTACACAAAATCCGTTAAGTAACAGTAAATGTGTTCGGGCAAATCCGTTATATCACTGTTTAATATTAATATTAATATAAAAGTCCGCTATAATACTTAGTAAAAATTCCGTTCCAGCAAAAAAGTCCGTATAAGGCAAAATCTGTTATATCGACGGTCCGTTAGTTATATCGACTTTCACTGTGTATAATGAACCTAATTATAATCTTCGCTATAAAAGTGCCCTTGGTTATAAGGAATTTCTGGTTATAAGGAATATTTTCTCTGGTCCCGTCGAATTTGTTATAGCCAGGTTTGACCGTAGTTAAAACCTGATTTATATTTGTAAATCCCTAAATTCACTTTGTCAGGTTTTGTTGCTGCACGCCCTATATGAGTGATATGCAAAATATCGATTATCAGAATGCTTGACATCTTCCCCAATTGTTACACATTTATTAGTTGATGTATCGGTACAAAGGTTATAGCAGGGTTTATTAATAATTTATTGATGGATTAATGAAATAACCCAATATGCACTAGTACTAGAGATTGACTTGGGAATTAATAACAAAGGCGCAAAAGAGATCTAGTGATGTGATGATAAAAATGAGGATGTGCCAAAGAAGGGAATGGATGATAAAGACTAAAAACGAAAAAGAGTGGTGCGACGATGGAGTTTTGCGTTCTTTATTTGTTTACACCTACGATTGAACGCTAAAGGTGTAGTGGTGCGACGATGGAAGTGTACACTCACCTAGCAAAAGTATTGGCAATTTTCATTGATCAATTAGTAAAACATATGAAAAAAAACCCTTTTCCGAACATCTCTGTTGCCCATACGTACTACGTGAGTTACAATATTTTTTATACTGTTTTGAAGCTAATTGATTGTACTTTTAAAAAAAATCATATGAAATTTAAAATAGTTACTGTAATTAAGGTGCGATGAAGTAGTGGTATCTATGTTGCACATATGAAAATGCATGAACAACATGGATACCGCCACTTTATTGAACTGCAGCCTTAAAAACGATGCGTGTGAATAACATGGTACGTATGGGTAACAGAGATGTTTTCGAAAAAAGATTTTTCATATTAATATGTCAGGACAACGTAATTTGAAATACTCTAGTGATGCGAGGATAAAAGTAAGGAAACACCAAAGAAAGGAAAGAATAGAAAAGACGTGAAAAAACGAAAACGATAATTACGTTACTTTTTATTTCACATTTGAATGTGGGTTAGAGCTTATTAAATCAATTGATAGAATTAATATTAATCTTTAGCCAAAAAAACCCCAAAAAATTGACTTGGTTTATTTTTATTTTCCTATCTGTAGTATACCTTTATTTGTATCTGTATCAATAAAGCTGGTTCTGTGACTCAATTTTGCTTTTGTAATTCGGGACTTATTCAGTATATTGATACCGACATCCACTAACCTGCGTATAATTGAGAATTTTTTCTTGGCACCGGCGTTACGAAAAATAACCCGCATGTGATCTTTATTAGCAATGGCTGGCATTATTGAACATGCAATATTAAAGAGACAAGCCTAATTGAACCAGGCTTACAACTAGGATTATAGGATAGTAGATGAAACTTAAAAGAAAAAGGCTGAATTCTCAGCTAAGGAAGCAGGTTTTATAGCCAGAATTGTGGAATCAGAGCAATCTACAAAAGAAAACGCAGAAAACGCAAAATTAAGAGATGCAATGCTAAATCCCCATGTTAACGCAAAAAGAGTGTCGCGACCGTGAAGAATTTTCTCGAGATATGCGTAACAAATTTGCTATTTATAACCGACCGTATAATATAGGACGAGAATTAGAGGTAATCTACGTAGTAACCCAGGATTATTTCAGCAAGAATGCCATTAGACATGACATAGAGCTCAATATTGGTAGTATGCTCTCTCACGGTAATTGATACGCTGTTAGTGTTGCTAATAGTCATAACAGTGTAACTCTGAGAATATTTATTCCGACATGACATGATGTCCTCGCTAGAAAATAAATGTCTTTGACTCTTGACTTAGTCAAATAATTAGCCACTTCTTCATCAGTAGTATGTCTAATGTAACCATCATGTACGCAAGAGAATAAATATTCTTTGGGGGAGTGGATCAGTTTTCATTCACGTTCCAGAAAAGGTGCATAATGAACACGTGTATATATTTGAACAAGTCCCTACTACCGACTGTCCATTATACAGTATTATCGAGTGTTCATGTCACAAAAGAGCAAGTGTCTATTCGAGTTCACTTTATACAACATTTCAAAACTCCATGGCGATATTTACAGCCCGCCGTTTGCAACCTCGGGTGATATGTACTGGCAGTTAGTCTTTAACAGGGTAACTAGTTACCTTCTCAAATCTCGATCAATTCCTCTTCTCGCCTACCGTATCGCATCCTAACAGTTCCCATACATCCAGTCCGCACCTGATCATCCTAAATACTGTTCATTAGGTCTGAGAGCAATACCCAACCCCGAAGAAGAACACGAGTCAGGAGTATGGACAAAGCGTGGTACGCTCTCGGCTGTAATATTCGTGAAGGACCCAAGAACCCTCAAACGTATTGACTATGGCGAGGCCGATCTGAACGGATTCACTGCTACACGAAGAGGATATGGTGCGAAAACGTCGACTGATCTTTATTACTACCTATTCCTTGGCCCAAATACTCATCAGTTCCTTTACTATTCATACGGGGCCGATTGACTGACACGCGTTCGACCTCCATTCGCTTACCCTCACATCTCCATCCCTACCTTTCTTTGTTGCGTCCCATCAATTAAATATGCTTCCGTTTCTTGTTCAGGCTGGAAGGATTTTTGTAATTCAACAGATCTTCCATCTCATGGTGAAGTAATTTTTGGAGTCGAATTTACATCAGGAGAAGTATCTTTACAACCGCATGTCTCCACCCTTCCTTCAAAAGCCTTTCCAAAAGATCTCTCCGAAGCCTGGTTGGAGAAACTCAACGTCCCCGAATGTGCGGACGTTCAGTTCAATGTCAATGACCATGTGATATACGCTGATTCTGCCATTCTCTCAAAACGATCAGAATATTTTCAAAAGTTCTTTGGGGGAGAATGGTCAGAGAACAGACAAAAGAGCATCAGAAGATATCCGACAAGATCGTCGAGAGAACACAATGATAAAAGTTTGGAAAGCAAGGGAAATACGGCAACACCTATGAGCGACGTAGTGACAGCAAATGGAAAGACCTCTGCGTACCAATTTGAGATCGATATACCAGATTACCATCATCTAACGTTTCTGGAGATGTTGAGATTTCTCTACACAGGTGAGTTAGAGCATAGAAGCGTTCTAGTGCCACGGGTTTAGAACCACAGTAATAACTCGATAGAGGGACGGCTTAGCGTAAGATGGGATAAGAACGATTTCATTAATGTTTTCTTCTAACCTAACACAATTTTTTTTTTACCAACTTTCCTCCTATCGTTTGTGAAGATCAAATAACATTTTTGAAACGTAAAGATTCTCATCAAACTTGCATGGACCTCTTCGACATAGCTGATAAATATCTAATAGCGGATCTTCGCCAACGAGCAAAAGTCAAAATCTTGCAAGAGATTTCTCCCAACAGTGTGACTGAAATTCTATTCAACTTCTCTTGGAAATGGCCAGATTTGAAGGAAGAGGTTATGAAATATGCCATTGAACATTGGCAGCAAGTGATAAAGACGGTGACGTATAAGGCGTTTAGGAACAACCCTGGAATATATCCCATGTCCAGTGAAGTATTGGTAGAATTATTGGAACGGTTCACGCCTTCAGCAGAGGAAGAACGTACACCAGAAGATATGATTTGACGTCACGAGTTTTTATCAGGATTAATATCTAATTAGGCTAATAATTAATTGCTTTTAGTTTTTCGTTTGATATATATTGCCCTCGTTGCAATATATTTCTCAAGCATTGCATCAAATCAATCAGCGTTACTCCTTATTCCATGTTTCCGTCATCTAATCAAGATCAAAAAGAAGAAAAAAAAAAAGAAATGTTTCCTAACTTTGCATTTAATAAACGATATCACAATTAAATTAGCATTTACGGTAATTATCTATATAACAACTAGATTAGATAATAATGAAGTAATGGTTTTAGAACCTTTTTTAGGGTATCTATCATTAGAATATCTTATTCTATCTTCCAATCCTTATCCAATGTCTCTGTCAGAATTGTCATCCACGAAACTATTAAATCCCCATCCATATGCCCTAGCAACGTCAGCGTCCTTAATAGCGGCCGGCGCCTTATAGACCCAATCATTAGAAAGCTTGTCACGCATATGTCCCCATCTAATAAAATCAGCTGCCTGGTCCCATAACGACTCTTCTATAGCTCGGAACTCGAGTCCAAGTTCATTTCGAATTTTACTGTTGTTGAATTTATACGCCCCTTTCCCAACGTTGGTCTTCACATAAGAAACATAGCCAGCCGGGTCACGCATAGTAGAGACTATTTTAGCTGCGACATTTGGAAGAGTCAATGACCAGGGATACTTGTAATCAGGAAAGCGTTGTTTAAGTATACTGATGATTTCGGCCATATCGAGAGTTTTGGAAGCACAAATATAACGACCAGATGCGTGGGGGTTCTGCGCCGCTAGAATGTGAGCCTTTACAACTAAAAGACAGGAGCGCCATAAAAATTAATTAGAAAAATAGTCGATAACTAATCTCTACATTGATTCAATCAAATAGGGAAAGCATTAATTACCATCTCTCACGTCAACAAGCCAAAAACTTAAATTGACTTGTGCCGGGATTTCTCCTTTAATTATTTCGAATAATACCTTTGAGCTTTGATTCATTCTCTTGGTATGAGAAGGGCCCTGTCATTGCAGGCATACGAAATATGGGTAAGTACAATATTCACAATGCATCGAGTAATAAACATGGCATTCAAAGGCCTATACATATACGTGTACTTATATACTCACAATAACCATAGCAGGGTTAATAGATACAAGTCTAAACGGAGCAACTCCCATAAGTCTAGTTGACCTCTCATAGAAATCCCAAGCAGATTTCTCTGCCTTTACTTTTGAATAAAAGTAAGGATTGCTTTTCAAATTGCTGTCATTATTCCAATCGTCTTCGGTATACTCTTTCTCTCGTGGTCTGTCGGCAATGGTACGCATCGACGATGTCAGCACTACGGTGTGCACATGTTCACTCTTTGTTGCTGATGTCAACACATTGAACGTGCCAGTCTCTGACGGCTCAACGAGATCTCGATAAGGGTTATCAGACGTCAGGAAATACGGAGCGGCTGCGTGGAAAACAACTTGGACGTCTTTCATGGCATTGTCGAATGCACCTTCGTTTAGAATGTCTGCTTCAAATAATCGCAGCCGTCGTCGAGCATTAGGAAAGGTAACCAAGTGGGCAACTTTGGATGTATCTTGAATGTTGCGTACCGAAGCACGGACATTGTAGGTGGTTGTTGTAAGAAGTTGTTCGATAAGATGACTGGCGATAAAACCGTTTGCACCAGTTATCAACACTGTTTTGATTTCTTCGTTTGCTTGAGAAAATCGTCGGCTCCTTCTCATTTTTGTTTCGAGATTTTTGGCAAGGTTGGCCCGTCGCTTGTCAATGCCGATTTTTGACAAGGGCAAGTTATGAACAATCCTTTATATTCTAGCTGAAAGAAATCACAAAAATGCTGATATCTGTTAACACTGCAGACCTAATGGAAAAAGAATATTCCTAATAAATTATCATACCACAATGGTTTCCATACAGTCTTGTCGGAAATTGAATCAATATTAAATTAAATTAGGGAAAATCTCCTAACGAAGCGCGAAAGATCCCATTACAGGGTAGAATGGAAGTCATATGGAAAGTAACTTTATATAGTTCGTACTTAGTGCAATTTAAGTAATTTGGTAAAATGCCGAATGTCCGAAATAAGTGAAATTGTCATTATCTATCCAAACCATCAGTGAGTATTTGACGAAAGTGGCACAAAAAGCTATAAATTATTCAAGAATGTAAACCCTAAACTGCTTTTTTCCCGTCTTGTCAGACATAAATGCAAACGACAGACTGTGATGTTTCAGGGTTTTATAGGTAGTTTGGAGCCACGTTCTTTTAAAAGAGTGCTTCACTTAATGCTAGTCATAGATGAATGCAAACAAGTGATTTATTTTTAACCAGAGTTGTCATCGCGTTGATTGTAAAGATTCAGATACTAAAAAGGATTGGGTAAGCATGTTAGCTTGACTGAATTATTTACAAAGTTGGCGAACCAAATCTTGTTCAACTGAGAAATAAATGTTCAAATAGGATTCATCTCAATCATCAACAGAGAAGCCCCCCCCATGGAAGAAGCTTCTATGGGTGAAACAAGATTATCCTGATGATTATGTAGACAGTACTTTTCTCCACGAGTTGCGGAAGAACGGTGAGAGATATAAATTAACAATAATCATAGGAACAGCGAGAGAGAAAGTCTGTTGAAACGTTTTAATAACTCTAAATTTTAGTGAACGTCAGAGCGTATGATTATTGGGAAGTGGTAATGGAATCGGGAGTAATTTCGCAGCACATAAGCAGTATAATAATCTTTGTTGCAGTCTTCATATACTTGTATTTCGACATGCTTTCGGCCGAAAAGCTCATTGCTACTGGAACTATTCTTACCGCCATTGGATACATAATCTGGGCTTTGAGTATACGAAAGACAGATCCATCCTACGAATATAAACGTTAGTAATATAATAAGGAGAGCGTTGTGTTTGGTTTTCCCTCATGACCCGTTGAGTAGAATAATAACTGGCATGTTGGATTTCTTGTAGAAAAAAAGACAGCGAAAGGAGCAGTACTCTTTTTTGCAACGCTTCTCGGACTATCTCCCATATTAAAGACACTCACAAAGGATACAAGCAGTGATACTATATGGGCACTGACTGTGATACTGTTTCTTACAAATATGCTTTTTCATGACTATGGTTCGGGAAATCGAACAAATATCAGGTATAATGAAATAAACACGGGCTTGCAAAGATCGTTTACCAGCTATTAATATGCTTCTCTTGGTTTTATTAGATTTCCTGGATCGGTCTCTGTTAATGCGGCAATATTTGCCTCTGTACTTTTGGCATCTAGACTTCCTTCTAATTTACACGTGTTTGGATTGATGTCATTTGCAGTAGAGTGGTTTGCATTGTTTCCAATATTTAGAAGATATACGAGGGTAATGTCAAAAAACCACGAGAGTGCGGGTAGTGGGGAAGTTGAGCATAATACACCCGACTAAATATCTTCTCGTTTGCGCGGTACCGTCTTTAGACGCTGTCAGCAAATTTTAATGTCATACTCACGTGTATCTTGTTCATGGTCGCAACTGTTCTCTTTTTGAGTATATCAAAGACAATGGTAATATTATACATATCGGGCATTGCGTTCATCACGTTCGTATGTCCGTTCTGGCTAATTTGGGTACAAAAATACAAAAAGTAAGTGTGCGAGTCTATTTACAAAGCGTCCGTAGAAACAAGATTGATTACAAGTTTTCTTTCGCATTATAGTGAAATACACGGTCCTTGGGATGAAGCAAGGCCAAAATTGTTAAAGACAATAGCTGATCAATGAAATCACAGCTTACGGTTACCCGTCGTGCATTCAGGCATTAAGTAAGTTTCCGGCTCTGAATGTTTGGACCATAGCCCCCCTCTTATGCTGCTCTATATCCCAGAATTAATTGTTCAAGCCATGTTCTGCTATCCAATAATGATTAGTAGTTTTGAAAGATATGTTATCCTATTGGGAAGTATCGGTGGTCCGAATGACAAAAGTTGTGCTTTTATTACAATTAATACTCTTCAGGACCGTTGATTGTTTTCGATTAGATTCCTCTTTGCAGGTTTACCTCTTCAAGTTGTAGGACAATTGCCTTTAGTTCGTGTTGAGAATTCATATTGCATCTTCGGATATATATTTTTTAGCAGCATATTCTGCTAAGTTACAAGTCTGTACAAATCCGTATATCGCCACGTTTTTCGCGTAAATCTATGAATGGTTACTAAATTAACAGAATTGAGAGCACGAGGAACTGTTTCTTGTAATCCACTCTATCGACTTTCTATAGGAGCCAGTGATTGTAAACCAAACAGAAAGTACCTTGACCTGTTTCCAAGTTTTGACATCCCGTAAGAGCAGCGCATTGACATCTTGGAATGTATAATTTGTTTCGTATAGACATACCCGTTAAACCAAACCCTGTTAACCACTTTAAACCGATCCTTTTCTGAATCATACAATTTAGTCAATTGGAAATACTAATTCCGAATTTACTGTTAGCATATAAAGTAATAGTAAAATCGGTTGACCGGTTTGGGGATTTTTAACTTTTCGAGTTGGGGTGCGACATACTTGAGCACTGAAAATTCCTTGCAGGATAACTTTCTCTCCTTTTTGCCAACTAGTTTTTATTTCTGCTAATTTATTCTAATACTAAGCCACTGTTGTCCGTTTTTAAACCAATTATGTTTGTCTACATTAACTATCGCGAGAAACTTTCATTCACAACGAGGTGCTTGTCTACATCAACATACTTATATCACATTTATGAAATATTCTTGCCTTTGTACAATTTAAGATGGATTTCGTCAGCCAACCAATATTTTCTACATCTGGCGCCAACAAATGTCAAAAGCGTTCAGCGAAAAGTCCTAAAAGCAAATATACGGCAATTTATTGTAATTACACATGGAGTGGATTACAAGAAACAGTTCCTCGTGCTCTCAATTCAGTAACCATTCGTAGATTTGCGCGAAAAACGTGGCGATATACGGATTTGTAAATTATAATTAGTATTAGCAGAATATGCTGCTAAAAAATATATATCCGAAGATGCATGGGATGAATTCGAACAATTAATTCGATCAAATTGGGTACATGTCATGTGATTGATAATGATATGCAGAATAAGAACAAGATTCGGTCTTCAGAGCGTTGCAGCCAACGATTATACCGCGAGAAAGGCCATCGGATCGACCAAGCATTGGCTCTTTGGATCGACCAAGTGGTCGACGGCAATTCTGGATATACCGTCATTAAAAAAGCAGAGACACTTGCATGGCGCAGAATTTTAAGGGATCGAACGGTTGGTTCGATAGATTTAAAAAGCGTTATGGCATGCACAATTATCTTCGCTTTCGAACTCAACCGAGATATGCAAAAAGCATGCGTCACACCACAACGCAGCCTTGTGACGCAGGAATTATTATAAGGCGAGTCAATGCATATGACGAAAATTGATGCAATGCGCTTCACGGCAGAAGCTTCATGTTGGTCGAAGGCAGGCATTATACCAAAGTTCCGACAGTATTGATAACTTTCTCGATATACCATCTGATGATGACAATAATGACGAAGATACGATTCAACATTTGATTGAACTGAACGTCTTGATCCCTGGAATTGCCTTATCGGCTAACGACTACGTCAACATAAATTAACAAACGAATCGAACAATTGATCAGTCGAAAACGCGCGTTAATATTTGGATATAGTTACTATTACCAGACTTGAGCTAAAAATTTTGAAAAGTGATTGGGACGATGCATAATCGTTCATCAAATCGAACAATTGGTCAGTCGAAAACGCGAGTTAATATTTGGATATAGTTACTATTACCAGACTTGAGCTAAAATTTTCGAAAAGTGATTGGGACGATGCAATTGAGGATAAATTGAATGACGGTGAGATAATCGTTCATCAAATCGAACAATTGGTCAGTCGAAAACATTTGGATATAGTTACTATTACCAGACTTGAGCTAAATGTGTGGAAGAATGCGAAAATTCACAAAAGCATAAAAATAGCGGCTGCGGATTCTGTGGGATCAATTGACAAATTAACGGCTTTTATAATGCAAGAAGACACTCACCTGTTCCCCAGTGTAATGAAACTTTTTAGATATCCTATTAAGCTCAAACATGTAATATTTTTGATGTGAAAAAAGCAGCTCTAGAGGCCACCTTAGCTGTGCTTAATAAAGGACACACGAAATTATAATGCAAGAAGAGATGGACATCGGCATTAGCGATAGTTTCATATATGAGTTAAATCAATGAATATGTAAATCAATCATCGACTCTAAGGAGCAATCTGAAATAACAAGTTTTTTTATCAGTTAGTCTGAACAAAGATTATATTAATATAAATATCATGTGAACCCGGAGTATTTACTAATAATACAAAGAAAAGTTGCTGCACAAGCGCCTTCGGATTAACGGTGTTGACCTTGTACATGGCGAAAAAATTTAAAATTATTATTACACAAAAGACATGAAAACGAATAAAAGAGAAAGCATAATCGGATAAACTAATGTATTTTTACATTGTTACTTTTTTTCATCAGAGCTTGCAACTCTCGCGAAAGGATCTTCTTTCCGTGCATCAGCCAAAAGCTTATCTATCTGTTTCGACTTGACTGCACCCTGACAGATCATGAAAGCTGGTATATTTTAGCCCGTAACTGTAATTAGGTCACGCGTCTTTCATATAAGGAACATACCAGGACACATTCTTTGTAAGCCGCAAATATCTCATCACATTCGGGGTTGCAATCTCCCTTTAGAAACTTCTCAGAGTACCACTTATTAAAGCAAGCGTCGTATTCTTTTTTCAAATTGTTGCATTCTTCACTAATACTTCGTGACATTTTGAGAAAGGAAAGGAAAGAAAGTAAAGTAAAGTAAAGTAAAACACAACTTTGTGTAAAGTTGAAAGTTTTTGGATTTCCTGTGTTACCGTTCAGATTATGACGTAAACTAATGTTAACTCAGTCACTAATACTAATGTTAACAGTTTTACCGCCACACTCCTTCACACACAAAAAGATTAATTCGTAGCCAATGTTCAGGAAGAAATCATCAGCACTATTCCCTCCAGTTCCTTTAACCTTCCAAGAAATTTTATCAGACTTAAAAGCTCTTCAAACTTATAATCATTCAACTGATAATGAAGAAAATAAAGTAGACGTACTTGAAATTCTAAATGGCGATGAAGCGGAAGAGACTCATGAATCTCCTGAAACCAGTAATGCAAATATTCCATGTCTCAACAGGGCTATCTCTCTTTCGTTTCATAATAGTATCTCAGCTATCTCTTTCACTTCCTTCCCTTTTTTTAGAAGAGGCATCCGATCTCGCTTTTCTGTCGGCATTAAAGACTGATCAAGCATCCTCATCACAAGGCCTTTCCAGAGTTTCCGCATTGACCAATAATTTTATCCAAATTAATACAACACTGCTGAAAGCAGGAGACCGATTGAATGAACTGGGGGAGGAAGTCGATGCATTGAGGAAAGATCTGGGTGGGATTGTAAAGACCATTGCGTTCAGCGATGCTGGTCGGGGGAGGAAATAGAAGTGATCAGCAAGAACAGGAAAAAGATTGTGAACATGAACGAAGGTATTTCATGAATCATGTCGTTTGTTATACTGTATAGTAATAGTAATAGTATGTTTATTTGTTTCTTATTGTCCGCATCTCGTCACGTGATAATCCTACATTGTTAAATCTTACCTAACAGGTAATAAGTTAGCTAGACTGGACAATTCTTCCGTTTGAGCAAATAGGTAAGATTATTACTTTAAATATAATTTTGGGAACTGCCTATGACGATGCCCACGTAAATAAATACTAATGAGAATCTGGATAGGCGGGTGCAATACATAAAGTTTAGTATTTGATAAACGTTATGCGAAATCCGACTATGCGATATCCCAAATGTCGCAATACGGGGAAATACTGTCATTTCGCTATTACTATTGACAAGAGTATGTTGGTTATCTTAATTAGCAATAATAATCGTGTCAGAAACATGATTTCGATAGGCATAGATATATATTATAATGCATTATTGTAAATGTTTATTAGAATTGATTTATATATTGACATTACGCTTAATTTTTTAAGTTGTTTACTTTGGGCCTTTATCTATGGCGGTTAAAGTGTTTATTATGTACAGTATTTTATTTATTTAGTTCGTGATGCTTAGACGAGGCCGATAGAATGGTAACCTTGGCGATCATTATACGATAAATGAAACGTGAGAATAGACTGTTATGATTAGTAAATTGTCAATTAGGAATTACATTCATAAAAAAGTTATTGATACACTTGATGTATCTTTCTCAGGCATTTCTGGCTCTATTTGACATAAACTGAATATCTAATACTTGAATGTCTACTTTGTACTACATTTTAAAAATTATTAATTAGGAAATGCCGTTCAGAACACCATCTTATTTGACAAAAAAACTTACTACGTCGTGTTCTTTCTCCAGCATGTCGTCCCAGAGCAAGCCTACTGAAGAACCAAAGAAAACTGCAAAACGTGACGCCTTGTGTGCAATTGAGCACGAAATACAGCTGATCTGGGAGCAACACAAACCTTTTGAAGTAGACGCCCCAACAACCGCAGAGGTTCCTAACGATAATGATATTCATACACTTTATCCAAAGTTCATGGGAACTTTTCCATATCCTTATATGAACGGGAGACTGCATCTCGGCCATTTCTTCACAATAACAAAGGTTGAATTTGCCGCAGGATATGAAAGGATGAGAGGGAAGAAAGCTTTATTTCCTTTGGGATTTCATTGCACGGGCATGCCGATCAAGGTCAGAATTTACGTGATTTATCGATTTTCTTCTAGATCGAATTTTACGACATGACTACTGTAATATTGTCAACTGCTTGCAGCTGACACACATCTTCTAACAAGGCATGTGCAGACAAATTATCCCGAGAACTCGATCAATTCGGACCCAATTTCCAATTACCAAAGCCGAAAAAGGACGATCTTGACGAAGTAATGAAGGATCTCACTCTGACCGACGCGAACAAGTCTAGTAATTCAAAAGATTCTACAAAGACACCGCAGAAGAAAAGCAAGGTAGCTGCAAAATCAACCGGAGAAAAATATCAATTCCAGATAATGCAGAGTTCTGGTGTCCCCATCAACGAAATTGCCAAGTTTGCTGACGCTGATTACTGGTTGACGTATTTCCCTCCTTTGGCCATTGTCAGTTAACTCTATTTCTTTTTTGTAACTTGCCAATTATTCCTGCTTGCTGTCTGCCTTTCAATCTGATCTTGTAGTAACCTTGTGTAGAAAGATTGCAAGGCTATCGGAGCTAAGATCGATTGGCGCAGATCGTTTATAACAACGGATGTAAACCCTTATTACGATTCTTTCGTTCGTTGGCAAATGAGAAAATTAAAGGCCCTCAATAAAATAAAGTTTGGCGAGAGATATACTATTTATTCTCCATTGGACGGTCAACCATGTATGGATCATGACAGACAAAGTGGAGAAGGAGTAGGCCCACAGGAATACACAGGAATCAAACTGAGAGTGTTAGAGTGGAGTGAGAAGGCAAAGGCAGCTTTAGAAGGCGTAGGGGCTCTTGAAGGGAAAAACGTGTTTCTAGTTGCTGCTACTTTAAGACCTGAAACTATGTAAGTGTACAGCAAAGAAGGCGTCAAGTTTTAATGTGGAATTCAGTTCTAATGCCAAATTTTTAATAGGTATGGACAAACTAATTGCTACGTTGGGACAGAAGTTAAATATGGTCTTTTCCAGATCAATGAATCCGATGTGTTCGTATGTACATATCGCGCCGCACGTAATATGGCCTTTCAGGGTTTATCTATGGAACATGGCGTGGTCTCACAGTTATTTGAAATCAAAGGATCTCCTCTAATTGGCACCAAAGTCAAAGCGCCTCTTAGCAAATACAAATTTGTATACGTCTTGCCGATGGAGAACGTACTTCCAACCAAGGGCACGGGAGTAGTCACATCTGTCCCATCAGACTCACCAGATGATTACATAACGCTTCAAGATTTGATAAAGAAACCGTCCTATTATAATATTGATCCATCTTGGGTTTCGGGATACGAACCCGTCCCTATTATAGATACACCAACGTTCGGAGACTTGGCTGCTCCAACTGTTTGTAAACTAAAGAAGATTAACTCACAGAAGGATCGTGTACAATTGGCAGAAGCAAAAGAAATGGTATATAAAGAAGGGTTTTATAGTGGTCTCATGAAAGTGGGCGATTTCAAAGGCAAATCAGTACAAGAAGCGAAGCCATTGATCAAAGATCTAATGATCTCGACCAACGAAGCGTTTGTCTATGATGAACCAGAGAACCTTGTAATGTCAAGATCTGGAGACGAATGCGTTGTGGCCTTGTGTGATCAATGGTATTTGGATTACGGTGAAGAAAATTGGCGGCAACAAACGGAAAATTGTCTTTCTAGACTGAATACTTTCGGCAATGAAACACGACATCAATTCGAAAGGACCCTGGACTGGCTGAACCAGTGGGCTTGTGCTCGGTCCTATGGTCTTGGAACTAGATTGCCATGGGATGAGCAATACCTCGTCGAAAGTCTATCAGATTCTACAATTTACATGGCCTACTATACCGTGGCTCATTTATTGCATGGTATGTAGTGCACCAAGTGCATTGTTTGGCATTAGCATTATCTAATTAATTGTGCTGTTAATAGGTGGTACTCTTGACGGTTCAAAACCGGGAACTCTTGGAATCAAAGCAGAAGAAATGATTGATCAAGTCTGGGATTATATTTTCTGTGATGGACCCGAACCATTAGACTCGTCCGTTCCAATAGAAAAGCTCCAAACAATGAGACGCGAATTTAAATATTTCTATCCACTGGACCTGCGTGTTTCCGGGAAAGATCTTATTCCTAACCATTTGACCTTCTTCTTGTACAACCACGTTGCATTGTTCCCCCAAAATCTATGGCCACGTGGTGTAAGGGCAAACGGTCATCTGCAGCTAAATCGAGAAAAGATGAGTAAGAGCACCGGAAATTTTATGACGGGCGCTGATGCAGTCCACAAGTTTGGGGCTGACGCGACACGAGTTGCTCTTGCGGATGCTGGTGATGCAATAGAAGATGCTAACTTTGAAGAGTCTACAGCCAACGCGGCCATTCTGCGACTTTTTACCTTGAAAGAGTGGTGTGAGGTAGGCTCCTCATTATCAATTGAGATTTGGTTGGAAAATTTTAAACTTATTCTTTACATTGAATATCAAACCCTGTTATCCTCCAGGAACAAATCAGAAACAAAGACTCTCTTCGTACGGGTTCTACTAGTAGTTTCAATGATCGCGTCTTTGAGAACGAAATCAACCATTTGATTGAACTGACAAATAACGCTTATAATGAGTTGAGTCTACTTAATTTTCGTGATGCATATTGTCTTATCAAAATAGCTTGTGTTTAAACAGCCACTAATTTTTAAATGTAGCGCAATGTATCGAGAAGCGCTTAAACATGGTTTCTACGAACTTCAATCAACACGTGACTGGTATCGAGAGGCTACAGTTCAAGAGGGGATGCATCGAGATTTGATTCTGCGGTGGATAGAGGTACAGGCTCTTCTTTTGGCGCCAATAGCGCCTCATTGGTGCGAATATGTTTGGCAAAAACTGCTAGGAAAGGTATGTTTATTCAAGCGACTTGTGAAGGGAAAAGATAGACACGCCGATTATGAAACTTAAAATTATTTGTCTCCCATCACAAAGCCTGACTTAATAGTGGATGCCAGTTTTCCAACACCGTTTACACCTATCGATGAAGCATTATTGGTAGCCATAGAATATATTCGCAAGATGGTGAAATCTATACGAGATGTAGAAATAAGTTCACAGAAGAAGAAGCAGAAAGGAAAACAAGGAATAGCAAACTTTGACCCGACAAAACCCAAAGCTCTCAAACTATTTGTCGCAACGAGATTCCCGGCATGGCAAGATATAGCTGTTGAGGCTGTCAAAGCTCATTATAACGAGGTAACTTAATAACTGCTTCAGAGCAAGTTGGGTTTACAAGAATTTCTTCTTATATCGATATATCGTTCTTAGTCTGCGAAAACATTTGATGATGTTTCCATACGGGTCGCTTTGACGGAAAAGGGAATTCTAAAGAACAAGAAAACGATGCCATTTGTACAAGATTTTAAGAAGCGAGTCGAGAAATTTGGTCCAATAGTGTTTAATCGTACTTTACTGTTCAATGAACAAGAAACCCTCGTTAATGCACGTGAATTTTTCAAGCGTGCGTTGGGTTATGAAAGAATTGATATTCTAAACGCAGATGACGTAGAGAACGATGAAGAAAGACGGGCTGTAGAAGCTGCTGTCCCGGGAGAACCGGGCGTGTTGTTCTGGAATATTTAGATAAATCTAGCCTATGTAGATTGTAATGTATCCTAAGGTATCAAGTTCATATTAGATTTCTCAGAAATAAGGATCGCATATAGCACGCTTTAAATTAATTAAACATACTGCAGCCATATTTGCGGAAGACATTGACAATTTGCTCTAATCGCGTATTGTTATGGGATTCATCTTTAGATAAGAATATCTGTTATACATGTATTTGCTGTCCCGCATTGTGGGAAAAATCAATTCTAGTCAATTAAATCAGATTATCTGTTATTATTACGGAGTAATTTCTAATATAATGGTAATTAATCTTCATTTGTCTTTTCCTCCTCGACTTCGTCAACAGCCTGTTCAATGAGTTTGCCAATTGATCTTTCCAGAGAGTCTAACCGATCACCCATATCGTCCACTGTAGGAAAAGTATTTTGCCATTTAAATGAGCTACAGCTTTATATTTTCTAAACATATGAAGGACATGTATACATTACTTTTTGTCACTAGTTGCGTTGACAAATCGCCGAATTTGCTTTCCTACATTGGCATGTTGTTAACCAACTTGTGTACTATCCGTCAGACTGTCTTTTTAAAGCGAAAACATAGTACTTTTAATATTCACAATACGTACAAGTTGTTGTAGCACTGTCTCCACCTGTTAACATTCAATTGCATTTTAGTGAATTAAGGTTTTCCTTTAGACACATTTTCAGAATCGCAGCCTGATTACTTACGTAGGCAGTAAGCTCCTGAGGTGTCTGTATTTCGTTTGGCGCTATCGTCAAAGATGACGTACTTGCAGAGTCATGACGAGCAGGCTGAGATGATGGTGGGGGAGGGGGAGGTGGTGGTGGTGGTGGTGGTGGTGGTGGTGCAGAAGTCATGGATATTGTTATTCAGAAAATCTTAAGAACTAACTTAATGTTCAAGCTTGCCGATCAGTAAATGGTTTGGCCAATCCAAACCAACAGTGTCGGCCAAAAAAGTTTAGTTTCATATTAAGCACGGTATTGTGCGGCATTGCTGCATAATAATAATAATAATAATAATAACAATAATAATAATAATAATAATCAGACGGAGACGTAACAACAATGGATGCCCTTAATCTATGCATTCTGTATGAATATTCCTCGAATTGGATACTGGATTCATCACGTTGTAACACAATGAATGGCGCAATTTTTATTTTTAAGGGAAAGGAAAAATAGATGGAGCGATTCATCTTTTATCATGAGCATCATCCAATTTCCGCTTGAACTTCTTCAACAAATATTCCTGCTTGCTGACAACCCTAGATTCGTAAAGGTTTGTCGGACGTTTCGCGATGCAATCAATGCATACCCAAGTTTAAAAATACAGTGGTTATTACAAAGGCATGGGAATGACTGTCAAAGGGCCTTGGAAGAAGGCCAGAGGTGGGGATTCTTCGACGTAACTATTCTTCAACAACTTGACGCAACAAATTATCAAAGACTTCTGAAAGCAGGTAAAAGGAATCCGCCAAAACAATTGTTATTTACAAAGCGCCCACTGGCAACTCGATTATTTAAGGAAGACGATAGAGATGGGCGTAATTATGACTTGGTCAAAACACTCTTGGAAAGAGGTGCTTTACCAGATTATCCAAACGGTTATCCGATGGTTAAATCAATACAAAAGGGAAATGCGAAAATGGTCAAGCTTTTGCTAGATTACAATGCGAAAATTGACAAGCTAGCACTCACGTTGATTGTAAACCTGAATAACTATGAGATTGCAAAGTTGTTATTGGAAAAAGGAGTTGCAGCGGATGGAGAATTGCTCGCAATGGCTGCTAAGAAAAATAATGGGCGCATGATGGATTTGTTGAAGAAATACGGAGCAGAGCCCGACAAAATTCTTATGAATCATTACGACGAGAATCCGTCATATATTCTTCACAAACATTCTTTGTCCTAGTTAATATTATATATATACAAGATTCAACATATGCACAAAGACATTCAGACAATGAGGTTGTTAACGGTGTCAGGACAATCAAGACGATGGTCTTTTAATTCGTTGATTCTTGTCTAATTACATAGAACATGAGATAAATGAACTCTAAATCATAGATGAATTAATAATATCACAAAAATGAAAATAAAAAATCACACCGTGAACGGATTACATAGGCAACTGGCTGCTTTCAATGGAAAAGAGAGCAAAGATCCCGCTGTCAACCCGAGAGACAACGCCATAACCATAATCATTCCAACTACACCCTTTCGCTCATCGTCCACATACTGAGGAGCTGCCATCATAATCAGTGAACCCAAATATCCATTCGATAAAGCGAATGCAAATAATATACAAAAGTACAAAAAGTCGCTATAAATTAACAATGGAAATAATCTTGTATCGGTTGATCCGACAACCACGTTACACATCAAAAAAAGCGGGAAAAATATGAAACGAAGTAAGGAGAACTTCAGTAATGAGTTGGGCGTTATGGATGTCACCTGATCAGCCCTTATCAATACACGGCCTAACCAATCACCCACATTAAATATTAGAAAATGAAAAGGTATAAAAAGGTCATTTTGCGATGACTCTTTGCTTTCAGCCCGTTGAGAAACGGATCTGATAGATGCGGTAATCGATGGAAAAAGTGCCAATGTCACAAGGAAGACAAGTGCGTTCGCATAAGCGTGGGTGCGAACTAAGCGGAACGTGCCAGAGATTGACGGGCTGTTAGTGCTATTATTCGGTAAAGCTTGTTCCGTCGGAAGTTGGCTATAATGCCGATAAAATCGCATTCGGCGTAAAGCAATGAACGATACCGCGGCCATTACCGCTGTACCAGATACAGCTAGGAAATAATAAAAGGCACCTTCCTGCAGGTCTGCAGACGGTAAGTCGCTTTTTTCCGTAGCCCATGCACTGAATAGTTGTACGATTGACACAGCAACTCCAACGATCGCTATAGGTTGTAATAAGTGATACAGTTAGTATTAAATATGATTCTAGCAGGAGCATATATTCGCAATTTACCTTCTCCACTGTGCGTATGGAAGGGTGAAGTAATATGTTAGTATAGATATAGATTCGACCACAAAATCGCAGCTTTACTTACCTTAACGCTGCCTGCATGTACAATGGTGGAAAACTGGAAGCCAGCCCAAAAAAAGCATTTTGCAAGTAAGCATTAGAAGCTGCGATAATTATCAACATAGTAATGATAAAGTAGAAGTAGCTTGTTGACGTAAACTCGTCCAGAACTTTTGTCGAGATCGTAGTTAATATATACACAACTACATTAACCAGTAACGTAACTGTCACCAGTTTGGCTAAATTGACCTGAGGAAGAGGTGAGTGTTATAAGATTCTATTTGATGATGTAAAGCTCTGCATGCGTCTCAGACATCTCATTTGATTTTCTCACCGTTGTCTTTTGATACAAAGCATGCGACTGACATATCAGATTGACAACCATAGACACGATTGAAAAGTAGTTTTGAAAAGTGTCCTTGAACGGAGAACCCTCAAACTCCTTGTAAAAGAATTCCGATGCGGTAATGAAAGCTGCAATAGACACAAATAATATCAGGCAAAATATCTCGAAACCAAGGATCGTTCGTTAAAAGAGTGCGCACCGTTCCATGACAATAATATTGATATTCCTTGTAAAGTAAAAATCCAATAGACTATTTTATATCGATCCGCGGGGGTATTTCTGTCTTGTTCGCCTGAATGCTGTGAGCTAGCACTGGTATTTGAAACAATTGGCTGATATTCAGCGCCTCCATCTATATTAAAGCTATCTCTCAAGAATTCGATGAGCATAGTTTCGAAACAGAAGGAATGTTATTATTATGCAGATCTCGCATGATTTATATGCGACGAAGATCATTAGATCATGTGATCGTAGAGCTTGTAATCGAACTATTCAATACTAATTACTGTAGAAGGCTAATATGTTACGTAGTGCAAAGAAGGAACAATTTATTTCTTTTGATCTATGTTGTTTCTCCCCTTCCTGGATTCTTCTCTCATCGCCCCACTAATCCGAACAGTCTTGCCTGGTTCATCTCTCAAATAAAAAAGCTTCGCCCTCCTATAACCTTTACCCCTTTGCAATATCTTAATGCTCTTAATCAATGGCGAAAACACTGGAAACCTTTGCTCAACCCCAACTTTCATTATAATGTTCCTCAACGTGAAACTACTATCGGGTCCACTTCGCCGAATTGCAATACATATTCCTGCAAACATAGAAGAACCCCTATTTGTTTGGTTCGTGTATGATTCAACTAATAGAACGTCACCAGGAATAATACGGGTTTTTCCTCGCTTTGCAAAGAGTTCCGCTCTATTGTCAGTTGCGCGCTTGACTTCTTCTTCATCCAATAGTCGCATTATATTTTTGCCTTCGAGGGATGGGTTGGGAAATTGTAATTCTGGAACTCGAATCGACAAGGGTGGATTGTATTGTAGGGCTGAGGAAGATGGGGGTATGTATTTCAAACATGTCAATTTTATATCTCTCGTCGAAAATGCTCGGAATGGTTCAATAGTATACTTTACTTTCGGCCTTTGTTGTCATATAACGCAACAAGAACGTAAGCGGAGACCACCGCCGAGAGGCACAACCATTAGAGGTAACTCGAAGCATTAGTCGTCGAGAAAAAGATGAGCAGAATACACCAAGGTTTTTGCTAATGATCGGCGTTCAACGGTCTTGATATGGTAACCAACTGGAGAATGGTCATGTGATTCTGATCTAAATTCTAAATTCTCTATTGCTTAGGAGAAATCAAAGAAGCATTGTGTAAAACTTGAGCTTTGAAGTTTCTTTTCTCTGTTCCTCTCATCATATTACTAACCATTTTCTTATTCTCTGAATCCAGGAAAGAATCGATCTCCTTTTCTTCCAATGACTTCTGCTCAGCTGGTACCATTTCTTTCACAATCAGGTCAAGCTGAACTGTTCGCTCCACCTCCTCGATTCTGCAGCTCTCGAGATCCTTGGCCGCCTCAAGCAGGACGTCCTCATTCTTGACCTCAGCAACCTTCTTTCTAAGTTCGGATTTCCCTAAGCTTGCAAATCTCAGCTAAGAGCTTAATGTTTTACAGAAGAAATTAGAAATAGTGTCCTATTATTATATGCAGCGTAATTTCCGCTAGATTCCGTACGTGTTTCAAATTAATAAACGGGTAGTTCTTTATACTCTGAAATACATTATATCCCAACCTATAGCTTCCGAATTAATCTTAGCTCGAGTGTCTAGGCTTAGTGTTTACCGATCGACACAAGGTCATGAGTAGTAAAGCTTAGTTAAAGGTCTTTAACTGTCGCTATATTACAGTGTGTAACAAAAGAGATGTAGATTCTGTTATTGAGAAGTCGATTTGAAAATAGGCTCTCTACGTTTTAAACAGGCTTACATTCTTGTTTTATTGAGTTTAAAAATTGAATTATAGTCGGTTCTGGTCAAATCACTCACTCCTCAACCATCATCGATTCTGTTCAGCCAAATTTTTCGCGTTTTGACGTTTCCATACTTTCCTTTTACTTATGCCATAAATTTTATTGGCTGCTTCGTCCATAGTTTGTAAGAAATTGACTAGGGTAACTTGTATGCTTCGAATTTTAACCTATCTTACATTCTGAGCATATGCAGATGACACTACAATTATTCTCCCTCTTCCCATTATCACCTTTTTCATTTCCATATATTCCTAATTCTCCACCTATTTCATTTAATCTCAACATCCTCAGTTTCAATCTCCCTATCAATCCACTAAACACTAACACCCTTTGGTCCACTCTCCAACATAAAATAATTAAATAAACGTGTTAAAAACAAAACGTTCGTAATGCAAAAGACATTGTGAAAATTATACTGCTGTGGGAAAGTGTCGGATTGAGCTTTTTCTAATTACTCAAGATCGAACATGTTTACTAGCCAAATAAATGTACATATTTTAATTTTTGTAACAATGTTTTAGTAAACATTTTACGGGTAGCTGGAAGAATTCATGACACGATTGCTTGTCTTTTACAGATACAGTTGCTAGAAGTAGTAAAAAAAACCAGACCGCTTTCCATGAATAATGACGATTGTCAAACACCAAGAAGTTTAGCAAAATTTATCGTAAACTCCTCATCAAATTTATGAATTGCCACATCAAAGCCACTTTTTACAGAGCATGGAGCTGGCGAAATTAAAGTGGGAAACAGTAATTTGGAGTAATAAATCACGATTAACTCTTTTAAAATAACGGTTTTGGGCGTGTTGACTTCTACAGTCAAGCATAGTGTAACAAAGGTATAGGTTTTTTCAGGAAAGGGATTACGACCGCTAGTAAAAAATAAACCAGTAAATATATGTGTAAATTATCTTGGTGCGAAATAATAAAACGAATACATTGGAGAGCCAACTTCAGCTTGTCACGTTTGCCTTGTAATTGGTCGCGGTATATCCAGAGTTCGTTATCTGTGTCATGACTTTTCTTTTCACTCTTATCATTACTTCTTTTTGCATATGTTTACAGCTGGTAGGTAAGGCACGTTTCGCACCACCTTGTATTTGCGCATTGACTGTACGTAGAATACTATTTCACATCCGTAGAGAATTTTCGGGTGTAGAAAGAAAAATGGTGCTTTGTTATCGAAACAAAACTAATTGTTGTCGAGAACAAGGTATTTACATGTTACGCGGATAGGCAAGCGAATTCCACATGCCTTCTGACAAACAACTATTGTTTGTATTATTTTCACATTCATATTCAGCGAGATTCTGGTGTTCAAAAGGTTTGTAATTAAGTGATTATTTTAACAGAACAAACTTGGTGAATTCTATTCGGACTGCAGTTTTTCTAATTAAATAATTTAGATTTCTAGTCCGTATTTCCGTAATACTTCGCGAATAACAACCGTTTGATCAAGTGTTAACAAGAAAAATTATATTGTCCCCTTAAAAAAATAAAGTCTTACATAGTGAATTTTCACATTTACGAGGCTTTGTTTGTTAGCTGCAGTACTAAATGATGGGGCAACAATTGCGATACAGGACATTTAAAGCAATTTTATTTTCATCGAAAATATTATACGAAAAACTACAGCTGTTTACTAAATACACACTTTTGACAAGGTTTTCAATAAATTCTATTGTCTTGGCTAACCACATCAGTATCAATATTTTCTTTTTTAATAATATATATGGCTCTCAATTGCTTATATTCCCTCATTATACGGAGAAATCTGCAATCTATCTTTCCAAAACCGCCTTCAATATCCAGCCTTTTCAGCGATTCTTTTATTCTTCCCATATTCTCCAACAGATTGTAATCAATTTCTGATTTGGCAAATGAAATGACCAGACTCTCAACGTTAGGTAATTTATCAATAAGATGACTAATGTCTCCATTAACGTAATATTTCATATCCAAACGCAACCATTTTAGCGAAGGTGAAAGATCTTGAAGAAAATCTTTGAAAATATGAAAATGCGTGTCTTCTATATGAAGCATTTGCAGTTTCTTGCCGGTCACCAATAACGTTATAAGATCGTGATAAAAGGCGCCATGCGAATCGGCAATTTGATGATATTTAGTTGCATTCAACGCCATTATAAAGTGACTGATTGTCAATGATTTAAGGTATTGTTCGTGTTGATGCCTCGGATAGCTTGGCTTCTCGATGACACACGCTTTATGATAGAAGAGCTGCTTATCTAAAGGCAAACATTTGATGTACGTAGTTATGAGAGCTCTACATTTATTTCTTATTGTTTTGTTTGTGTTTTCTTTCAAAAGCGTGTTCATATAATGGAATGGATCTTTGTACAAGAGAGGAGTAAATTTGCCGCAAATGTATTTGTTCACCAGCATGCAGTTGTAGAGAGCAGGTATATTGTCTTCCATATACTCAAAGATAAGATTAATGACATCAGCGTTGAGCTCTGTTGCAGGCGACATTATCAAAGACAGACCATGAAAAAAAAATTTTTGCAATGTCTTATTATTTATTCATTTTTATATATATAAGGTATTTAAACGTGAAGTTGGCAACAACAATACACATAGATTGGGACAATGATCAGCTCCCAAATGTATTCAAATAATAAACGACGTATTATAACCAACGATAGATGGCCCCTTGTATACCATGTGTAACGAGAGGAAGATAAAGCTCCTAATACTAATACCACAAGTATTATACATATACTGTAAAATGTTCACAACCCCGACTCGGAACTTTTGTTTGGTAGCATGTGAAGTCGATAAGCTTGCGTGTGCCATATAGAAAAAGACCCAATTATTATCTGAATCTCGTCTTATCTATAAATGGGTTTTTATTTGCGTTGCGACTTTAATATGGCGTTATTGTATTTCAGAAATCCCCATGTTCCCTGGTATAGTCTTTTTCTGGACTAACTATTTGTGTCCATAAATGAGAAATGGCTTGATATAGTATTGCACTAACCATACTCTTACAAGTAAAAAAAAAATACGTTTTGTGTGTAAATAATAAATGAAGACGCCCTTTATTGTAATTATTTATATTTGTTACACTTTGTACTACTATGTATCAACGTGATGAGTTTATTACGAGTGCCTTCTCTTGAGGAACATTCCCGAGCGATTTGACATTGTCATGATCAATTGGACAGTCATTTAGTGAACCTGTCCCAAATCCTAACAGACTGGATGATGTATTAGTATAATTCAAAGGCTATTTTCATCAATATTTAGCGTTCTTTTATATCATCAGACAACTAAGCAATTATGTGAGACAAATTATCCACCTTCTTGTAAAGAGTGGCTTTCGCTGTGGAATCCGTAATTACAATCATGCACACTTTGACAAGAATTGGCTTGATTGCGAACAAATTTCTGAGAGATGAGACAAAGAAATAATAGAATTGTTGTCAGGTCACAAAACTAGTTGCCCAAAGTACATTTGCAGGATGTTCAAACTTAGCAACGAGGCTTATACTAAGATTCACATGTAAGATAACGTCTGTTTGGCTCTTTCTGGTTAAATTTTATGGCCATCGTTACTTTGTCACAGTTTTATTGGTTGGTGTTACAGATAAGCTGCAAATGGGAAGCTGTGTGCCTATTAAGAGTGCCATTTTGAGAGCCTTGCATGAAAAACACTGTCTTCTTCATTTGGAAATATAAAAGGCCCTCTTACTCTTGGTATTTAAATCTTGGTGCTTTTTTTAAATACAACCAAGTTCACCCAGTCGTGACTACTTCAATGCGCTTCCGCATGTTTCCGTCTTTTGTTTTTCTAGTCCTTCACCTCTTGTTGGCTTGCTACCCTAATGTGTCATTCAGCAAACCACTTTTCCAGCCGTACGATGCCAGTCGTCTGCGACTGACTACACAATTGCAAGGCAGCTATGTCCAAAACTTTGACACTTACAACCGCGCCAATGTAGCATTGGAAACAAAGTCGCCTGCCTTTAACCCTGACGAAGCTGACGAAATCTTGAACGTCGAATGCAAAGATGGAGACGTGATTGTCATGAAAATTAGAGACCCCGTTGCATTAAAGGAGGTGCAACAATGGCCGGCAAACGTGATATTGATGATTAGCCATGATTGGCATTGCTTCGGCAAAGAAGAAACATTGTTTTACATGACATACGATACCAATGTTGACTTTGAAAAAGAGGAAGCATCCTTTCAAGTGAATCCATGCGACATATCCAATCATACAGATACGTTCTCCTTAAGCTTAACATATCATAAAACGACAAAACATGTTCCAGACACTCCCACCCCGGACGTGAAAGAGACAAAGAAAATGGGCATATTTGCACGGATAATAAACTTCTTCAAAAGACTGTTTAGGAAGAGTGAGCAGAAAGTCAAAATGGTGATTGAAAATAACAAAGAAGTTAGCGTATACAAGGAGAATGTAGTCGACCTCAATTTTCTGTACGATTCGGAAAAAAACGCGTCTTCTAAACGAAACTTTGCCTTGTCCACCGCGCAACCCGGTATCTCACAATCACTTATTTGCGTCGATTGCTATACGCATGGGAAAGCCGCTATAACTTTGCAAATTGAAGGAAAGATGTTACCCCGCGTTAACATCTCAAAAGCGTTTATCTCTGTCAATGGTGATTTAGAATTTAACTTTGACATTAGACTCGATAGGGGTCTACCGGTTATTGTCAAGTCGAGCGATGTCCGCATCATGTCACTGTCACTCACTCCATTCCACATCCCCGGCCTATTCAGCATTGGGCCCGAATTATCCCTTACGGCTGCTGCGGGAGCAACGACCACCGTCATCGGCAGTATATATACGGGCGGCAACATAGCGTATCGTAACTTTCACATCGAGGCTTCGCTGACGGGTAGTCATCCGCAATTGAAAACAACAGGATTCGAGCCAATTATCACACCGAAAGAAGTCTCTGCCGATTTCGCCGTAGCATCGAGTATGTTTGGGACCCTGAAGCCCCAATTGTCAATGAGCGTGAACCTTTTGAACGGTGCACTTGTGACCAAGGCTGGACTTGAATTTGCTAGCACACTTGGCGCAACTGTTTTGGTTGGTGGCCAATCAATGTGTGCAAATAATAGGCAACTACACGTCGAAACGAGTTTCGGTCATGGCTTGAGATGGTTTGTGCAGGGCAAAAGTTCGACTTTTGTTTCATTTCAACGGAGAATTGTTGGGAAAAAATGCGTCTAGGAAGGCAAAAAGGAAATATGACAGTGTGCGAGTTGGACCTGGGCTAGACGCGTTCGAGCCTTTTTTTTTTCTTCCCTTTGCCTTTTTATAGATCAGGTTTAGAGTTTTTCTATGAAATTGGTCAAGTTTGTTATGCGTGCATTCTGGCATTCTGACATTGAAGGCTTTTATATATGAATAAAATGATAAACCTTTTTCTCCCCCACAGCTTGTGATCGTCACGCGACAATCGCCGATCTGATATTGTTATACTAAGCTCCCCCAAAAGCATACAAGTCTCATTCAATGTACTGGGATTGACGATTCGAGAATTCCATAAAAAGCCCTCACTGTACACAGCAGTACAGAAAGCCAAATAAAGTAATGCTATACGGAATCGAAGTTGATCACGGGTGCAAACTATTACAAATATTCATGAGTAGGCATAACCCAAAAGGTTATCTTCTTATATCCTTCACTCACGGAATATATATATCTACTGATACATGCTCACCTTCCTTATTCAGGCTTTTTAGAACATACTAATACTCTTATTCTCTCTATTCAGTGACTAACTAATTCTTGTTCGTGAAAGTCTGCTATCAACTCGCAGAGTATTTGACATACTTTTTTTGACTCTACAATTTCACCTTTATACAAAATCAACTCAGTAGACAAGAAAGCGTTTTTCCCCTCTCAACACATACACCCACCCTCCTCCTCCTAATAATAATTTCCCAATTCCATCAAATTTTATTTCTTCCCCTCGCTTTGGATCTATGTGCATTTCTGCTCATCCATATTCCGTGAGTACAAACGAATCCCGAAACTCTTACTTTCTCCAATTCCCAGACGCTGTCCAAGACCTCAACATGACTACCAAAACTTGGTCACGGTTATCACGAAACTATGCCCGATTATTAGAAGAGGATACCGATTATGACTTAATTATCCAAGTGGGCGAGGAACAGAACACACGCTCGTTCCGTGCGCATTCGGTTATTCTACGAGCACAGTGCAAGTATTTCCAGGTGGCCTTATCAAAAGAATGGGCTAGGACGGATGGCGATAAAATGGTATTTAGTAAACCCAACACTTCGCCTGCCGTCTTTGAAATTATACTCAGGTGAGTGATGCTCCAAGTCATTAAAGTTGGGCTCTACGGAATGCAAGCACACACACACATAAAAAAAAAAAAGAAAAAAAAAAAAAAAAGTAAAATGAGACAGTCGATTCTTTAAAATAACCTGGCAGTAAGATTGTCGTAATGATTGATAATCAAATAAAAATATGAGCAAAAAGTGATACCCCTACCCCAAATATGAATCTCTGGAAACCCCAGGCATTCCTATATCATTGATCAATGTGTGCTTGGACATTTCAATACTCACTCGGTTTTTATCAAATTCTCCTTCCTTCCGCTTTTTCTGAAATGTACTTACATTTGGTGCGTGATGCTAATAATAGATACGTATATACTGGCATAACCTCTTTCGACGAGACTGACTGCGACCTCCTCCTCGATCTCCTTTCGGCGGCGAATGAAATGCTCCTCCCAGAGCTAGTCGAAGACATCGAAGATTACTTAGTCGCCAATGAACCTTCTTGGATGCAAGAAAACCTTTACCGCGTCTTGGTAATTGCTTTCGAATACGAATCTTGCAAGAAGCTGCAGACCTATTGTCTGGAAACCATCTGCGGTGATCCATCCTTGCTGTTTGAATCGGAACACTTTCTCTCTCTTGATTCGTCGATTCTTGTAGCCTTGCTCCAACGAGACGATTTGAGACTGGAGGAAGTGGACGTATGGGAGTATTTACTGAGATGGGGAAGAGGCCAGGTTAATAGACTAATTGATGAGGTGTCGAAATGGTCGGTGGAGGAGTTTACCGAGTTGGAGGACGTGTTAAGGCCGTGCATTCCGTTAGTCAGGTTTTTCCACATACCGCCAGGAGAGTTTAGGCAAAAGGTGTGGCCGTATAAGGCGGTATTACCGCAGGACTTGTATGATGATATTATGTGGTGTTATGCTGCACCTCAGATTAAGGTAGAATCCATCATATCGCCGCCCAGACTGAAGCCCATCGATTCCAACATTATCAAGATGAAGCATGTGGCTATCATATCCAGTTGGGTCGATAGAAAGGAAGGTCCATATTACAATCTCGGGGAGATTCCGTATCAATTCCGTCTACTCCTTCGTGGCAGTAGAGATGGATTCTCCAATCGAGTATTCCACAGTCGGTGTGATTCCAGCGTACGCACTGTTGTTATAGTGCGCATTCAAGATACAGGTGAAGTGATTGGTGGATACAATCCACTTAACTGGAGTTACACGTCAAGTGGCAGAACAGAAGACAGTTTTATTTTCTCGTTTGGCGATGGCGAGACTCAATCTGCACCGATTCTGAGTCGAGTGCATCTCAATCATTATGCCATTGCCATCGGGAGATTCGAAGACAGAGGGCCGAATTTCGGCGGGGCGGATCTATGGATGCAAGATAATTTTAATCTGCCATCGTCGCAATGTTGGTGTAGGCAATACGCCTATGAATACAAGATCAGAGAAAAGACTGGAAACTTTGTTGTCGATGATTATGAAGTATTTCAAATTGTAGAAAAGTAATTAATGATTTATAGCAGTTGATTGATAATCATTATCAGTTATGGTAAGCCAAAAATAGGAAATGAACAATACATACATACAAGACATTTAATTGACAGCATATGAGCAATTTAAGCTTTACGAACTGTAAATATTTAAGGGTTAATAAAGTAAGAGATGTCTGGAAATAAAAAAAAGTTACACGACACATTTATTCTGTCGTACAGAATACTTATACGGTATTATTATTATGCTTAAATTTATGTTGTACATATTAATATTAATATTCGATATATTTACCAATAGTATAACTCTCTGACGCACGTCGTCATCGTCAATGTGAGGTATAGACAAGTTGTTGCCAGCCCGGTGCAAAATTCGAAGCACTCGCTCTTATGAATACCCTTGTCTTTTCACGAACGGGGAAAAGACCGTTTTCTCCTTCTCACTGAAATTTACTCATGTGCCTACCTTCCATCCAATTATTCCAGACTCTTGGTGTCACTATATCATCTATTGGGTAAAAAGTTTCCGTCATGTACACCAAAGTTCTTGGAAGGGTTGCGTTTAGACGGTTACAACGAAGAGCTAAAATTAGCGTTTGAATTTAACAGCCACATCATTATTGTCGTAATGACTTGTATCACAGGAAAAACGGGGAGAGCGATTTGGAATCCCAAAAAAGTCGTGATCAAAAAAAGCAAGAATTATACACGCAACAAGGTATAAAAACCTTATCGAAATTCCGTATACCTGCGATCTTCTACCTTACACCCGCCTGTATTAGTAGAAAAGGGTTATAAATATTGGATAATTTTTCTGTCAAAGATAATAACGTTTATTATTCGGCCGTACGGCAAAAAAAATGTCCCGTAATAAACTTCATCCATTTCACGCTGAAAAGCTTGATCGGTGCAAAATGTTCGTTTATCACATTGACGAGTGTAAGAATGTAGAGAGATTTAACGGTCTCAATTCAATGCCCTTTCAATTTACTGGTCAGCGGACGAACCAAATCAGGAAAAACGAATATGATTATCAGCCTTCTACTTGGGGACAAAATGTATCGAATGTTTAATGGAAAAAAAGGCGGAACACGCTATATAAAAAACGATGACCTGATTTTAATTGGACATCATCTTAAAGAACCCAAATATAAACATTTGAGGGATTGTTACCAAATCATTGCGGATAGTCCAAAGCCATATCGCGAAAATGTTACGTTCCGTTCGATGAAGCCTGACAAATACCAAAAATCGACGAATTTTTTTCTGAAAGAGGGACGGTGGTTATATTCGAAGATTTATGCAGCGAACCTAAAAAAACAACCATTCCTTACTTCACTGAGGGACGCCACTCCAACATAAGTTCAATCTACGTAACTAAAGTTTTTTCGATTGTCCGAAATTAATACGAAAAAATGTAGATTACAATGTACTACTCGTTAACGGTAGCAGGCACATACGATGAATTGGTTGATACAGTTGGGCGGTATACAAAAAATGGCGTAATGCTGTTGATATAATTGATAAGAATTTGCAAGGTCGACAGTTTATCGAGTATTTATCCGCCGCGTTGTTCCGCTTTCCTCGTAACAATTCGGATTATTATCACGGTTATTTAGGTTAATTTTTAGGTAAGTATGATTTTTTTTTATGGACGACTTTCTTAAAAAAAATCCGAACGGTGTTATTGCGGCCGGATTATTCAGATTATGGTAAAAGCGGCGTCGATTATCGATATCCATAGTAACAAGATTAGTTAAAACAAGCGTTCCTAGAAGACCAGCTTACCAATGGGTTGCCAAGCAAACACCGGTCTTAAGAAAAATTCTATCCAGTGAGTCCTTCATAAATATTACCAACCTAATCAGATCAATTAGGTTTTTCTTTTCCGTGTTATTCTTACCCTCGCCTGTCACTTCTCCAAACATCACCTCATATGCAAACTTGTCTATTTATGTATGTTAATAAAACGATTAGAATATAGAATGCTGATTGTTATTATTTTGATTTGTTTTTTATAAATACCACTATTGACGATATTTCTAATCATATCGGGTTGTTTAGCTCGCCAACTGCAAGCTTTCAGACCTTTGCACTACTGGATGTGTTTGGCCAAATTGTCAGATATATACACTACCTGGACAAAAGTCTTGCGCATCGAAAAATTTTAATTGTACAAAATTACACATAATAATTATATTTCAAATTTTAATATAATGTTGTTTTGGTTTT